GGCTGGAGGCAGGGTATAGTCTTGAGTAGCTGGATGAAAAGATCACCTTAATCTACATAAGTAGGACCCTTTCTTAGACGGCGAAGATCAGAAGATTATAGACGACGCCATATACGAAAAAGATTCAAACCACCTATAAACCCTTGTCCTTGGCATCCACATCTACTTTACTTCCTTTTGATGAATCTTTATCTTCTGACTTCTTCGTGTCGTTCTTCTCTCCTTTTCCTCCAGGCTTCCTCTCTTTCTCGTCTTCCTCCAGTTCTGCCCTGCCAATCGTCGCTTTATTATCGACCAACGCGTGCAACGCTATCACCGCTCTCAGCAGACTACTCAAATACACTACCAGCAACTCATCATTCGTGCTCGTTGCGAAACTCTGTGTCGTGTCTGCGTCGGCGAGATCGGGAAGGAGGTTGAGCGCGTCTTGTAAGTGATACACGATCTGGTGGTTTACAGGCATAGTTCCTGCCGCGACATCGGCAAGGTATTTTTGTACGTCGCTGAGACGCGATTGCAGACCGCGGAGAGAAGATAGTTGTTCGCTGACGCGAGTGGCGAGAGTGGTTGTTGTGGAGTCCTTGATATCTCGTAGGAGATGCTCGACACCGATTTCTTCAGCTTCTTCGGCTTCGATTGCGGATGGACAGTGGAGGAACGTTTTGCGCGTTTCGGTGCCGTCCTGATTATAGTCTGATGAATACCTTTTGTATTAATTGAAATAGAGATGGGCTCACATCTTTGATCTCTTCGACAGCAAAGTAGGCGTCTGTTGGTATACCCACTGTTTCTGGCCGCACGTCAACAATGACCATTATCGGTCGGGCAATAAATCGCTTGAAAAGGTCATTGATTTCCTGATCTGAAGCTCGCAGCTTCGGTCCAGTGTGGTACCATCCAATCAGTCTTTCCTTCGCTGGACGACAGAGCCAGATGAGCTTCATTTTTCAGGTACTTGAAATACAAAGACGTACCATTGACCTTTTTGAACATTTCATACATTCCTTCGATGTAATTATGATCCAAAAACCACGTCTTACTGTCCTTCTCATCTTCCTCAAATGGAATACCGAAGGAATTGGCAACATTTATCGTTTTGCCGTTGTCCTGTCCTAGAAGAACGCCTATCACTCGCTTGTTAGTGTTGCGGGAGACTGCTCGAGCGTGGTGATCGGCTACAGAGAGAAGAACAAGTGGATGGACAACTGGGGGAAATCGATTAGTTAAGGACAATGTACAATCTGGTGCCATACTGATAGTAGTTGCAGCCAAAGCTGATAGCTATGCAAAATATTAGCAGAAGTTAGTTAAAGTGGCTGTATGCTTCACCTGTTCTGTTGTCGGAGCAACCATAATGACCGAGTGAGATGAATGAGGATTTTTGTGACGGGCGCGTAAGTTGAACGGGTTACGCGTTCATTGATATTTGATAAGATAAAGAAAGCGGCCCGCAAGTACCGCACTGCAACAATTTTCACACGAATCAAATTATCGAAAATTTTGCCTTCAACGCCGACCCCAGCATCGACGAATACCGCGCCTGCCTTGACTTCTAACTAATTTTCTTTCTTTTGGAGTTATAAAATGGCATTTGGTACAAGAATTCTGAGCAAATATCTCTCTTGACAATCAGCCAATCATTAGTTCAATTTTAGGTGCATCTGGAGGTCGCGGTGGATTTGGTGGTGGGAGAGGAAGAGGTGGAGGTGGAGACAGAGGTGGAAGAGGCGGTGGTCGAGGTGGTGGTCGCGGTGTGTTTTATTTATCTGCTTACTGCTGTTCAGACTGATAAGACTCTACGTACAGGTGGAGGTGTTCGTGGTGGAGGTGTAAGAGGTCGAGGAGGAGGACGCGGAGCTCCCGGTGGAAGGGGTCGTGGTGGAGACCGAGGTGGACGTGGCGGGCGTGGAGGAGCCAGGGGAGGAGCCAAGGGCGGCTCCAATGTTATTCTCGAACCCCACAGACATCCTGGAGTTTTCATCGCAAAAGGCAAAGAATCTCTTCTTGTCACAAAAAACCTTGTACCTGGTGAATCTGTATATGGTGAGAAACGGGTATCTATTGACGGCGGTGTTGAGGGCACCAAAATCGAATACAGAGTGTGGAATCCTTTCCGTTCCAAGCTTGCTGCTGGTGTACTGGGAGGTTTGGATGATATTTTCATCGCACCTGGTAAGAAGGTGCTGTATCTTGGTGCTGCAAGTGGTACCAGTGTAAGTCATGTCGCTGACATTGTCGGACCTGTAAGTCTAGTTCTTTACTACTCCGGACATTATATTTATTTGATCTGTAGGAGGGAATCGTATACGCCGTCGAATTCTCTCTACGATCTGGCCGTGATCTTATAAACATGGCTAAGAAACGAACAAATGTCATTCGTATGTTATTCCTCCGTTATCACATACTTATTTTATTGCTAATTAGTTGAATAGCTATCGTCGAAGATGCCCGACTCCCCACAAAATACCGTATGCTCCTCTCTCAAGTCGACGTTATCTTTGCCGACGTCGCACAACCCGACCAAGCCCGTATTGTCATCCTTAACGCCGAGCATTTTCTTAAAGACGGTGGACATGTAGTCATTTCCATCAAGGCAAGTTGTATCGACTCAACAATTCCCCCGGATGTCGTTTTTGCTCGCGAAGTTGAAACTTTACAAAATAATCGGTTCAAGGCCCTGGAACAGGTCCCTTTGGAACCGTATGAACGTGATCACGCTATGGTCTCCGGTAAGTTCCTTTTTTGATTCCTAAATGCTCGCGTCCACTGATTTGCTTGTCTTTTAGCTGTCTACCTTCGACACAAAGCCAAGAAGAACTGAGGATGGAAGCTGTTGACATTCATTCTGTGTTTTTGTTGTTGCTGTTGTACATCTGTTTCTATCTTTTTTCCTATCTATCAACTTTTCACAGTCTCGAGAACGCGTAAGAATTGATGAGGATTGAAAATCTGAAGAATAAATTATCGTTTGCGCCATCTTTCGCACGTGCTGAAGAACTTCTCTGACTCGATCAAAAAATGTTGCTATCGATCCACCGTAGAATTTCCTAATCCTGGCTTTCTTACCAACTCTCCGACGACCTTTTGTATTACCATCTTTCCACCGTCTGTCACGACCCCATACACCAGAATTAACCATAATAACAAAACGCATGGCGTCTACGCTGCCTTCACTGCCTCCGGTCGCAGGCACCGACCCTTCTTCCTCGGTTTTTGACGCTTTCCGCACATCTATAGCAAAAAGAGTAGCAGACGCCTTACATCCTCTCACCATAGAACAGGCTTATGCTGGTGTTGACTTTGGAAAGAAGGGTGAAGATTTCACTGTTGCGTTGCCGAGGTTCAGGCTACCTGGTAAGGTAGATGAATTGGCTAAAAGAGTTATCGACCAGGTACGTTTTTTGTGCTCAGCGTGAATGCTCAGTATGCTCATACCTATATAGTTCCAAGCGGACGACTTTGTTGCCTCAATAAAGCACGACAAAGCTTTCCTTCACTTTCAGCTGAATACCACATCTCTCATCCGCGAAACCCTTAATCAAATACATCGTCTTGATGGCCAGTATGGGTGTAACGCCTCTGGATCTGGCAAGAAAGTCGTAATTGAATACTCATCACCAAATATCGCGAAATCTTTCCACGTAGGACACCTTCGAAGTACCATTATTGGGGCATTTCTGGCCAACGTTTACAAGGCTTGTAGCTGGGAGGTGATTTCTGCGAACTACCTAGGTGACTGGGGTACCCAGGTGAACTAAAACATATCCTCCTTGCCGTGGTTATCCTTATTCAACGAAACTTTGTATTCGTCGCGTCTTAGTTCGGTCTCATTGCGGTTGGATACGAAAAGTATGGGTCGCAGGAAGAACTCCAAAGAGACGCAATAAAACACCTTTTCGACATCTACGTGAAGATCAACAAAGACGCCGAGACAGACCCGGAAGTCAAAGTCGAGGCTGCGAAATTCTTTCGCAGGATGGAGGACGGCGACGAAAGTGCGTTAAAGAATTGGAGAGAATGGCGGGAGCTTAGTGTAAAGAAATACGAAGCGGAATACGACCGCCTCAATGTGCATTTTGATGTGTACACTGGAGAGAGTAAAGTCGGACAGAAATCAATTGACGACGCGATAAAGAGATTGGATGAAATGGGGTTGATTGAAGACCATGAGGGCGCGAAGTTAATTAATTTGGAGAAGCACAAGCTTGGGAAAGCAGTTGTCAGGAAGAAAGGTACGTTGGTATGAATGTATTCTTGGTGAATGTCTATCTCACTGAAATACGTATCTCCGCATTTCGAACAGATGGCACTTCCATCTACCTCACTCGTGATATCGGTGGAGCCGTAGAGCGATACGAAAAGTACAAATTCGACAAAATGATCTATGTGATATCCTCACAACAAGACCTTCACGTCTCGCAGTTCTTCAAAGTCCTTGAGCTTATGGAGTTCCCCTGGGCCAAGGATCTTGTTCATATCAACTACGGACTTGTACAGGGAATGAGCACCCGAAAGGGTACAGTCGTCTTCCTGAACCAAATTATCAAGGAAGCGACGACGGTGATGCATGAGCAAATGCAGAAGAACGAAGAAAAATACAACGCTGTGGAGGACCCGGAGAAAACTTCAGAGGAGCTCGGTATCACTGGAATCAAAATTCAGGATATGACCGCCAAGAGGTACGTTGTTTAGAAAATCATTCATTTCATCACCTGAAAATCGTGCCCAGGATAAACAACTACACTTTCAACTGGGACCGCATGTTATCATTTGAGGGCGATACCGGTCCATATCTTCAATACGCACATGTCCGTCTTGCTTCAATCGGTCGCAAAAACCCACACCTTCTACCTCTACCTCCCCCATCCGAGATCAATATCGAAACCCTCACCACTTCCATACACGCACGGGAAATTGCGTTCCTATTGGGTACATACCCGGACGTCGTAAAAACAGCGTTAAAAACTCATGAGCCTAGTGGGGTAGTGACGTTTGCGTTCAGACTGAGCCATGCGATTTCGAGTGCTTGGGAAACAGTCATTGTGAAAGGAGAGGAAGACATAGAAAAGGCAAAGGCAAGGATGTGGTTGTATGAAAGCGCAAGGGATGTTTTGGCGGCCAGTATGCGATTGTTGAGTATTAGGCCTTTGGAGAGGATGTAGTACAACGATACCTATGTATCTTAATATATATTCTGCGGTACAAATCCTGTTTGTTTGCATAAGCGCCCATTTTCTTTGCTCCTTGCTTCCATGTAGTCGCTTGCTTTATGCGAGAACGAGGTCCGCTTTCAATTGTACAGTTACCTCAGAAAGGGCATTCTTCATTTCGAACAAAACTTCGAACCTCGCCAAAATCCGAGTCGCGTGGCCTTCAAGCGTTGTGTTTTTCCTTGAAAAAGTAATTTTTGTCGGACACTCCTAAAAAGGCAGAAAACGAGTTTGGCTTTCCAGTGCTCCCACACCAATCGACCAACTTTTGAAATCACTTATAACGCGGCATCATGTTCTCCTCATTCTATCATACAGTGCTCCCTCCCCCTATAAGTTACCTGTCTGTGCGCATACTGAACCAAAGTGTCAAAAACATCCCCATTATTGACAAAGAATGCCCCGCGCAACATCATCGTCGAAGGTCGGTTGGCCTTTCGGTCATAATTAATCCAACTCTTACCACAATCCCTTAGCCTGAAGAGGGCTCCGTTCAGTGTGAAATTTGTCAAGCAATCATTGCTCGCAAACAAGATTTCCCTCGCCATATGCGGATTCATAGCGACAAACGAGATGAGATGTAAGTATGATGCTGCCAGTTGTTCTTTGTAATCTATCGCACACCCGGTTTCTGCTCCAGAATCTTCAAATGTCCTTGGCCCGGATGTGCCTATGAGAGTCTGCAGAGAAGTAATGTCGACATCCATCATCGTATACAGTAAGTGCTACTTGCTCTTCAGATATAATGTGACACTCCATGTTCAACTTACGCTACCCCGCAGTACACAAGAGAAATCCAAAGCATGTCCTGATTGTGATTTCACTACCAGTGATCCCGGATCCTTGACGCGCCACCGGAAGAGATTTCATGGATATCAACCCAAAGCTAAAACGGCCTAGCGCGTTAATACCTATCCACACATTAAAACCAAGACATTCATTCCGTAGGTGTGCCCCCGAGTTTAACTCCAACTTCGTCGTGCTCGAGTCTGGTATACTATAAATCGTGGGTCTTCGCGCGTCGAGAACGCGTCTTATTTCTGCCGCATGAACATCGACTATACCGTTTCCCGTTTCCCCATCGGTGCCACCTATTGTGTGTCGAGGAAACCGGAACGTGGATGCATTACAGCAGGAACGTAACAATAACCTTCGAATTTCGAGGCGACGCAAGCGGTAGCATTGAAGGTACTGGTAAACTCCTCAACTGAATGCAATTAATTGTGATTGCCTCGCTGTTTCTCTTGATGTATGTTCAAGCTAGTTGTAGCTTCAATGAATTCAGCTTTATTTAGCCCACATGTCTGTGCCGTTTTCTGAGTCTCGGATAATGCATGGCGCTTACCAGGCGCTTGACCTGTTATCGCTCTCCTCCCTCATCTTTGACTCACTCACTCACTACAAATGGATGGTTCGATCTACTTCAACAGGATCACCAAGGGTGCCAAGGATCTGATAAAAGCCGAACAAAGTGGTAAACCTATACCTGCTAGCTTTGATTTTGCCAATTCGCAGATTTGTGCTTGGTGCAAACAGAGCATTGAACCGCCGAAGAAGCCTCTGAGGTGCTCTGCATGCAAAGCACCCATTTACTGCTCTGCTAAAGTATATATCTTTGACTCTTTTGTGATTCCTTCGCTTATTCCCTTTGTGTTTGTACAGTGCGCGAAACGCGATTGGAAAACCCCTGCCGTTCCTAATGCTGTTACGCACAAAGTTCTTTGTACTGACAACAAGGTCTATTGATCTCTTTGATGAATTATGCTGCAAGGATCCTGATATGAATCGTGCTGATAGAGACATATGCAAAGACTGCCTGAAGTCCAAGCCGTCCTCAAATCCTTCCCTTGGGGGCGACTCGAATCTGATGGAACATTCAGCTCTGAAATTGCGCGTGGTCGTTTCGATGTGCTAGGTGGTTCAGGATATGGATTCTGGTCACATCGGGGTGGCCCAATACCCCATCAATTACACGGCGATGGCGCTTTTCAGATCGATAATGTGTCTCACAGCGCCCAATTCATTCAAACGATGCTCAGAGCCTTTGATCATCTCGACGGCAGTGATCTACTTAAAACGAGACATCTCACAGATGAAGAAGGTTGGAAACTCCCAAGGGAACTCATACCGTTCCGTGATATCACACAAGACGCACGTAGGCCGATGTTGGTAACTCAGTTCCAGGGAGGTGTGGTTGATTGGGATAGTTGGTACAGGTGGAGGAACCTTCCAAAGATGTCACCGGCTGCGCTTTTAATGGACTTTCCAATGAGTGTGTACCAGATGCTCGTTCATTGTCTTGAGATCACACACCCCAACGCTGGAAGCGAAATTAAGCCCGTAAATCTCGACATCTACTTTTTAGGTGTGGAAGTGGAGCTGAATTTTCTGCCTCTGTATGTCTATGCACAATCTCCTCCATGAGTATGCCGCTCAATAAATTGTATCTAGGTTCTCCGAAATTGCCCTCCTTCTCCCATACCATAACCTCAAACTCACTTTATTTGGTCCTGGCGTCCGCAAATTCCTCGACGAGGCCAAGAAACATCCAAGCTCCATCGCTGCGAAATCTCGCGCTTCTGGAAACCCCATTTTCTCTTACACTGCTCCACCCGAATGTGGTTCATCTACTATCAACATTCGTCTCAGCGGCAACACCACCTGGTTTCCCAATCCGCACACAGTACCCGATGCTATTGTCGCGTGTAATGCAGGTCTAGCCTCATATCCTGAATGGGTCCCTATCATTCGTGCCACCCTAGTCTTATGTATACCGTTCGCGACTACGGAGTACTGCGAGCAGTCTGCTGAAGCGCAGAGGAACTTCTTCCCGATGCTAATACGCGGCTCCAGGGTTTTCATACCTCTAGACGACCAGAGTCATAAAATTGAACTGAATCCATTCCACCGTCCCGGACAGAGAGTATTTCCTATGTATAGTTTACCAAATTTGGTGAATGGGTTCACGCTGGTGGTGTATAAATCCAAAGCGGTCGATCATGAGTTAACGGGTGATATTGGGAGAGGAAGGTATACATTGGATGAGATTGATTAGTACTTGTTGTCGATCGGATTTTTTCCTTGAGAACCTGTAACGAATCCTTTAAGATGAAACAATATGAATGGACACCTCAACTGTAATGTAATTTCACTGCCATCTATCCGGATTCAGTGCTGCTCCGAGCTGGTCGAGCGACTCGGAGGTGAGAAGAGAAAGCTAAGTGCGAAAAATATGATCGCTGACTTTGACCAAAGGGCTGAGGAGGGTCTTAAATCCTGCGATCGACGTAGAATTGGCCAAAGTTCACCGCAACAGGAACTTATTTTCTATCCACTGTAAGCACCCGTTTTTTATCCTTAGGGCTCTTTCAAGATATTTCATTGAGTATGCCCCGAGTGCTACTGCCTAACGTCAGCACCCCAAGGCCCTTGAACAAAAATATTGCAAGGAAGAGGCAAGGTTTGATAATAATGCAGTGATATGTAGTATCCTGATGCCAGATGTTCAGAGCTCGATACCTGATCCATTCCGATGAGATTGCAGTTTGCTGAAGTTCTGCAAGTGCCACCGATGTACTACAGCGCTGATGGTTATGGACAACATAGTCAGTAAATTCAAGTGAGCACAGCTACAGATAGTAGGCCCTCGGCAGCTCCCTGGCAGTCCCCTCAAGAAAATTGTCATATTCAAGTCATGAACATGTAAGATAGTGTAAGACTCATTACGGCTAGTGAAGGCAATTACCTTTCTATTCTCTCCATAACCGCCATCATCTTGATTTATTCGCACGACTAACATCGTCGAAACAAGCCTCGGTGGGGGTGTTAGAGTAACTCAATAGAAAGGGTATAATATCACCAAAGCATTCATAAAGTTTCGACAAGGTTATAAAGGTCATAACATCACCAAAGAATTCATAGTCTCGACAAGGTTTCGACAAGGATAAAAAAGAGAGAAAGGGCATAATATCACCAAAGAATTCATAAAGTTTCGACAAGGCTAGAAAGGTCATAACATCACCAAAGAATTCATAATCTCGACAAGGTTTCGACAAGGATAGAAAAAGAGAGATTCAGATCACACGGAGTTGTTAAAAAGTGAATATACGACTTGGTCGTAGGCCCTATTTGAAGGAATTTGATCGCTGTAGTCGACAACTACCCTGTTTGGAGGCTGTCCGTCCAACTGGAAAACCTGTTGACCCAAGAGCCCGAGAGATTCTTCATGATGAACGGAAAGGATTTGGCCCGGCACGGAAATGGCGCAGACGCCGGTTTCAAGGCTGTGGAACGTAAAATTTCCTCACCTCCAAAAAACAACAACGACAACGCTTCTAGCTCACGCTATCCATACACTCCTTCAATCCATACTCATCCTCTTAATCTTAATCTCAACTCCTCACTTAATATGACCCGTTGATACAACCCAAAATAATCTGAACTCGAAATGTCAAAACTTCGGCAGTTCATGCAGAGGTTCAGTGGTATATCTACAAGTCTACAGTACATTGTGGTTTGATACAGATTGCACAGATGTTCACTGAAGATGATTCAAATAAGATTCTCGGCAGTATAACACAATTGTACTCACTCAGACCACTAAAACCCATTCTTTATGTTGAGTGTACATTGCTTAAAGCATATTACATGTATATCAAAGACTAATTGTACCAAGCAAGTAAGACAGAAGTAGAGACTAGTAATTATGGGCTGACATACTGCATATGCTCGGATTTCCAAAGCAATAGCTAAAGCAGCTCAAAAGCATAATAGACTCGGAATGTATGACAGATATCTGATGCAACCAGGCACAAGGGAACAATAGCTAAAGCAGCTCATGCCTGACAGATATCTGATGCAACCAGGCACAGTGGCACAATAGCTAAAGAAACTCAACCACATGTTTATTATGATTGGTACCTGATGTTCATGTGAGTCTCGGAGTTTATCCGGGAGTCAGATGGTTCAATAAAATATGCACATGGTTACCTCGGAACAAGATATTCCGAACCATGTGCAGCATAATAAAACCCTAGACCCTGGGCTAGCTCTAGGCCCCCAGAATTGCATATATACCAGTAAAAACCTCGAGACAGGACAAGCTTGCTCCACCCCCACTTCTGTAGAGATTGCTAGTCCTACAACTTGAAGGGAGTTTAGTTTCAGCATAGAAAGAATACACTTGATTAGACAGAAAGAATTGTATAACTCAGAAAGATTGTACTATTTGACTTAAAGAAAGAGAGTAAAGTTATTCAGTACAAGCAAGTAAAGTTATTCAGTTCAGAAGTTACAAAGTTACCTTTGAATATCAAGCCCAAGTTTTATAGAACTTGTGAAAGAAAATCTATTACACTTGTTATAACCAACTTAAAAGCATTTTGTACATTGAATATAATAAATCTTTCTGTGCACCCCTCCGAACTTGTGTTTGACTTAGTTTTGTGTGTGTTGGTGTTGGTGTTTGTGTGAGATTTGTTCTTGCATTTGCATTTTGCACTTAGCCTAAAGTCAACATATCATCTGGAGCCCACCGCGAGGGGGTCAAAAGATTAAAATTCATTGGAAAATTTGCAAGGCTTTTAGCCAAAACTTACCACCATTGCACCTAAAAAGAGTCAAGTACAACTTACTCAATTAGATCTGGAAGCTGCAAAAACAGCTTTGAGACAAAAACAAGAAGAACAGAAACAACAGAGAGCTCAAAGAAGTGCTAGAAGAGAATCTTATAAAGAGTTATCTTCAAATATTTCTAAGCTAACTGAAGGATCTTCTTCTTCACAAAGAATCCCAAGTCCAGAGAAAAAGTCTTCTACACCAATCCGAGACAAAGCTGTGTCGGAATTGCAGAGTGTTACCAAAGACAGAATACAATCCAACTTGGAACTTCAACAACAGAGAGCAGCATTATTGCTTATCTCACCTCTTGCACAACATATCCCATTACCCAATTCCCCTGAGTTAACACTCAGACAGATTGAAAAACTTCCTGCATCTAATTCCATTCCTGGAAGTTTTGATCATCAAGCTTCAGAGGAAGAAGATCACAGTATAAACTCAGAACAAGAACAATCTTTTGTAGAATTTGAGAACTTTGCTTCTACACAACTCTTCCCACCTGAATTTTCAGAGTCAGAAGAAGGACAAGAATTAGAGCTTCCTGAATCAAGTTCTGCAGTTGAACAAATAAAACAAGAAGAGACAGATTCTGAATCACTCTTTGATCTTGAATACAAGGAAGGAAGTAAAACACCTCCTCCATTTGCATTCAGTTTTGGCCAAGCAATATCACCAGGCTTTTTGAATTTTAATCCAAACTCCCAGCAAACATCATCCCCAAGAAATTCATTATATAAAACAACTATCACAATGTCTGGATCTTCTAGCACAATGCCTAGACCTGGTTCTAGAGATGCACCAAGGTTAACTGCAGAAGGAACAGATGATCCCATGAAAGTTAGAAGATATTTTGATGACTTGGAAAATTTATTCACTGATTGTAATATCAATAATGAATTAGACAAAAAGAAGTGGACAGTGAGGTATCCAGAAGAACAAGTAGCTTGGGAATGGAAAGCTATGTCTGAGTACAGCACTGCTACAAGCACATTTACAGACTTCAAGAAAGTAGTTTTAAGTAGTTACCCAGGAGCTACTGATGAAGAACGGGGAACTATGAGAGAATTGAACCGTTTATTCAAAAAGTACAAAAACATTGGAAGTGATGACTTGGATGAATACATGGCTCTTGTAAGAAGATTTAGAGCAGTAAAGAAAGAGCTCAATCCTCCACAAGTGGCAGGAGCAGCAGTACAACCCGAGCCTTTAGTCACTAATAGAGAACTTGTGGAGAAATTCACCAGAGCTCTGGACATAGGTTTCCGAAATGCTATATTTGCTGCATTACATATTAAAGGGAAAACTAGAACAGTTCCGGCAGGTCAAAAAGTGAGACCTGATGACATGTATGATATTGATGAAGTCATTGCACAAGGGGAAGCTATAGCTAGAGGTACTATGCCAGGTACAGATCCTATGTCATCTGTTGCTACAAATGCAAGTTCTAGTTATGCTCCTCCTGTTCACATCAAGCAAGAACAATTTCAGCAGCAAATTAATGACTTGATTAGTGAGAAAATTGCAGTATTAATGGATACAATCAAAATCTCTCAAGATCAAGTTAGACAAGAAAACTCTAAGCAGATCAATGAGTTCATGAGAACTTATCAACAGAATAATGTTCCCAGAGGGAGTGTTCCTCAAGGATATGCTTCTCATCAGATGCCTGCTGGATTTGAAGCTAATCCAGTAAAATCACAGAATGTAGAAATGCGGGACAATAACAAGGCTCCTTATGACTGGCATGGCAATCTTAGCAAAGTAGTATGTTACTTCTGCAGTGAAGAAGGTCATGTGGCAAATGATTGTCATCATAGGCAAGATTTGCTGGAACTAGGAAGGATTGTACTTGTGAATGGTAGAGCTAGATTACCTGGCAACTATCCTATTCCAAGGCAACCAATAGGAGCAGTATCAGAAAAAGATAGAATAGATTATTATTATTTGGAAAAGGAAAAGCGGGACAAAGACAATGCAAAGCAAGTGAACTTAGTGCAGAGCACTCCGAATAATATCCCCGGAATGATCAACACTGCTACTATGTCTACATACTTAAGCAATCAGCTAAGTGATAAAGACTTGAGAATTGCCAACTTAGAAAAAGAACTTCAATCTCTGAATAATCCTGCATCTCAAATGATGTATCAAATGCCCGGCCAAATGAATCAGTTTATGCAACAACCATTCTATATGCCTCAGCATAATCCTATGATGCAGAGTCAATTCTCACAAGTTGGATGGAATCCAAGTAGTCAGATGAATAGTTATATACCAAGTACAAGTCCTACAATGCATATGTTGAACTCAATGTATCAAAACCAGAATAGTATGACTCCAAACTACCCTAACATGGGTATGCATACACAACCTCAGCAGTCAATGCCTACTATGGCTGAGATTGAGGCATTTGTTCAAACAAGAAGGCAAAAGGAAGAGTCGGAAAAATGAGGAGTTCAATGATTGGGACACTTACTCATAATACAAGTAGGAAAGCTGTAGCAAAGTCCCTTGAGAACCGGCCTGATAAAGCAGCCAAATCCTATGAAAATCAGAACTGGAGAAGTAGAGAAAAAGAAACATTGAAAGATATTGGGTTTGATGAAGGAGATATTCCAGAAATTCCATTTATCAATGTGAAGGATGTATCAGAACTGCCTATGAAAGGCATACAAGCTGTAGACAGAGGAGTGCATGATAGATCAATACAACAGATTGACAAGTCTGAGATTGGACCAGCATATAAGTTCATTGCCCCTGTACAAAGATTGGGAAAAGTAAATGACTTGGTTGATAAAATCTTGGACAATGATATTTGTGTCAAGGCTAGTGATCTGTTGTCTACTTCGAAGCCTATCAGAGAAGAATTGAAATACAGAGTCACTCAACAACGGGTCAACTCTGGGGAACAACCAAAGTCTACACAAGTGAAAGCCCAATTTGAGGAATTGCAACTTGACAGTGACACTATTGATATTGATTCATTACCTAGTGTGACTTGGGAAAAGAAAACAGAAAGAACCAACAGTGGTGAGCAAATCTCAGCTTTTGTAGTTGGAGATGTGGTACTTCAATATTTAGAAACTTTGGCACCTAAAGAAACTGCAAAACAAATTGTAGTAGCCAAAGATTCTCAAAGTTTGAGATCAATATATCCACTATTGAATGGAAGAGAACATGTGGAAAGTCTTCTGGACTCAGGTTCACAGATTGTGTCCACTTCTCAAGAGAAAGCAGAGAAGGCAGGTTTGATCTGGGATCCGGACATAGTAATATATATGCAAAGTGCAAACAAAGGATTAGAAAAGTCATTAGGACTGGCTAGAAATGTGCCATTTTTGATTGGTGATATGACTGTCCTCTTGCAAGTTCATGTGATTAAAGAACCAGCTTATGATCTATTATTGGGAAGGCCATTTGATGCACTTTTACAAACTCACATTCAGAACTTTGCAGATGGAAGACAGATTATCACTCTGACTGAACCATTGACCAATAGAAGAATTACTGTACCAACTTTTGCTAGAGGTACTGCAGCAATATTAGCCAATTCATCTAAGATGGAGAAAGCTACAGAATCCACAACAGCCAATCCAGTTGCACAGGGTTTTCTAGTAACCTCGAGGATTTGATTAGCAAAGATCAAGGAGAGGTGGCTATAGTGTTTGAAGTTAAGAAAAATGGTGAAGTCGAAATTGATAGTTACTGTCTCCCACCAAAGAAAAAGTTCACTTATGATGGACTTCGAAATGCATACCTGGTTGCATCAGCAGATGCTACTGCTCATGATAAACATGCTCAACATTCACTTTCTTCATATCTGTCTTCTGTTTATTCTATGGATATTAAAACTCCAGGTACCAATATTTCAACTGCTATTACTGCTGAAGTTGTATATACCGAAGATTGGAAATTCTCTAAGTTATTTGATATCAATAGAACAAAGAATCCCATTAGGGTCACAAAAACAATTGAAAATCCTGAAACAACTCCAAAAACATCAGAAATTCGGATTGACTATATTTCAAAGATAAAGCATGAATTCTATTGTATCAATCATACTCCACTTTCATCTTTCATTTCTAAATTATCTCAGTCTGAGATTGGTGATTTGAAGCCATGCAGAACTGATATCTATTTTGAGCCCATGGCAGTACTTGCATCTAGAAAATACAAACCAGTAGCAAAGAAAGTGAGACCAATTATTGGTGAACTTCCCCAGAAATTCAGAATAATCAGAGATATTAAGGGAGATCCATTGAAGGATATGCCTAAGCTATCTACACACCCACCAGAGTTCAAACCTACTGGGAGATATACTGAAGCAAGAAAAGCAATAATAGACAAGATACATGGAGATGATTTTCTGTGGCCTGAGGAAAGAAAACTCATGCACCATCTCATGATGGAACAGGAAATGGGTTTTGCCTGGAATGATGAGGAGAGAGGGAAATTCAGAGAAGACTTCTTTCCACCAGTAGACATGCCAGTAATTCCTCACACTCCATGGGTTGAGAAAAATATACCCATACCACCTGGAACTTATGATGAAATATGCAAAGCAGTCAAAGTGAAAATTGATGCTGGAGTATATGAACCTTCAAACTCATCATATAGGTCAAGATGGTTTGGTGTATTGAAGAAAGATGGGAAAAGTATAAGACTAGTTCATAGTCTGGAACCCTTGAACAAAGTTACTATTCAACATTCTGGTCTACCACCTGCCACAGATGAGTTAGCAGACCAATTTGCAGGGTACTCCTGTGGTGCAATTTTGGATATGTATGTTGGATATGATGAAAGAATGTTAGCAACACAATCAAGGGATTTTACAACATTCCAAACACCTTATGGTGCACTCAGATTGACCACATTACCAATGGGTTGGACAAACTCAGTACCAATATTCCATGATGATGTTACCTATATGTTGAGAGAAGAAATTCCACATGTAACCAGACCATATATTGATGATGTCCCTATCAAAGGACCACCAACTCGGTATGAAACTAAAGATGGTAGTTATGAAGTTATTCCAGAGAACTCAGGGATCCGCCGTTTTGTCTGGGAATACATGCAAAATGTAAACAGAGTCATACAGAGAGTAAAATACTGTGGTGGAACCTTTTCAGGACACAAAGCAGTTGTATGTGCTTCTGAGTTCAAAGTGGTTGGATACAGATGTACTTATGAAGGAAGAGTAGTTGACCCGGATTTAATGGGTGTCATTGACAGGTGGGGTCCTTGTAAAAATATAGGAGATGTCCGCAGTTTCTTGGGAACAGCAGGCCTCTGTAGAATGTTTGTCAAGAACTATGCCAAAATAGCAGAACCCATCAATAATCTCAGAAAAGACAATGTAGTCTTTTTCTGGGGACCCATAGAACAGAAAGCCATGGATGAATTGAAGAAAGCAATCAAAGAATCTCCAGCACTGAGAAAATTAGACTATAACAGTGACAGCAATGTAATTCTGTCTGTGGATAGCTCATTTAAAGGAGTTGGATTTTACATATGTCAAGAAGATGAAAAAGATAAAAGAAAAAGACATTATGCAAGATTCGGATCTATCACCTATAATGATAGGGAAGCAAGATTTTCTCAACCAAAGAGGGAACTGTATGGATTATACAGAGCTCTGCAAGCTTGTAAATACTGGTTATTTGGTGTAAGAAAACTTACCATTGAGGTTGATGCAAAGTATATTAAAGGAATGCTCCAACACCCAGATGAAGTCCCCAATGCTGCAATAAACAGATGGATTGAACAGATCCTAATGTTCCATTTTGAACTCAAACATATACCTGGAAAGAAACATGGTTCCGATGGATTGTCAAGGAGAGACCTGCAACCAGGAGACAAAATATATGTTAATCCGGAAGAAGAATATCAAGATGAACCACCAGCATTTACTGTCACATTTGAGAATGGAATTGACACCACAATACCATTTGAAGCATTCAAAGATAAAATTGACACAAGGACTGGCTATACACAGGAAATTGCAGAGTCAGTACAAGACTTTGTACAACTAGTGGAAGAAGCTAGCAGGAATGAAGCAAAGCTCAGAGCCAAGTTTGTGCAACAGTATCCAGCTAATGGAGCCTTTCTGACAACTTTGCCCCAGATTATCAAACCTCAAAATTTCATAAGTGAGGAGAGATATGAGGAAAAACATAGATCTAACAAAGGGAAAGAACAAGATAACAGGCTGTTACTAGTCCGAAAATGGTTAAAGAATCCTAAATGGAAGCCAGATAATATGTCTGAGAACCAGTATTTGAACTTCAAACAGTTTGCAAGACAATTCTTCACTAAAGATGATAAATTGTACCAGCGGAACATTGAAGGAAAACATAGATTAGTGGTTGGAAAAGAACACAGAATGTCCATAATGAAGGCAGCACATGATGGCCTTGGTCACAGAGGGGTATATGCAACTAAATCTCTACTCATGGAACGGTTCTGGTGGCCTGAGTTAGAAAGAGATGCAAATTGGTATGTTAAAACATGCCATTTATGTCAACAAAGACTCAAAGACCATATAAGAACACCACCAAGACTAACAGCAACACCATCTATCTTCCAAGTGCTTCATGCAGATACAATGCATATGCCTGTGTCTAATGGCAAGAAGTATTTTGTACATGGACGGTGCCATGTTACAAGTTGGATGGAGGGGAGAGCCCTTAGAAAAGAAACAAGTAAGACTATTGGTGACTGGATATATGAAGAAATAATATGTAGATGGGGTTGTTTAGCTGTAATTTATACAGACAATGGTACCCCATTCTTGAATGCAATTAAATATCTTGAAGAAAAATATGGAATTAAAGGCATACAAATTGCACCATATAGATCACAAGCAAATGGAAAGATAGAAAGGCCACATTGGGATGTCAGACAAGCTTTGTACAAAGCAGCAAATGGCATACAGTCTCAATGGTCCTATTATGTAGTAGAAATAATGTGGGCAGACAGAATTACAGTGCGCAAAAGGCTCGGATGTTCACCATTCTTTGCTCTCACAGGTGCACACCCTGTACTGCCATTTGATATTATGCAGGCAACTTGGTTAATGCAGATACCAGGTCATGTATTAAGTACAACAGAGTTGATTGGACTTAGAGCAAGAGCACTTGCATTACACACAGAACAAGTAAAGGAAATAATGAGTAGAATAGATCAGAAGAAACAAAAAGATACACTGAGATATGAACATATGCATACTAATACTATCAAGAATTTTGACTTCAAACCAGGGGAACTTGTGTTAGTAAGAAATTCACAAGTAGAGAATTCCTTGAATGCCAAAATGTTACCTAGATGGATGGGACCTTGCATTGTAATCAGAAGAACAGCTGGAGGCTCCTATGTGCTAGCAGAAATGGATGGTGCAGTATTCCAGAATAAAGTATCACCATTCCGAGTCAGACCATACAATGCCCGGCACAAAGTCAAACTTCCTCAAGCACTTCCACTGCTTACAGGTATATCAATGGAAGCTTTAGATGCAATTGCAAATGGACCTGAACCTGATAATAGTGAAGCCATAGAGCTGGAAAGTTCACGTATTGAGGAGTCCCTGGAAATAGAATATGAGAATGATGATTCTATCATAGAGCCATTAATCCGAGGTGAACTCAATGCAAACTCAGAAGTAGACTATGAGAATGAACTCAGTGATGATGAGGATGATACATAAAACAAAAGTATATTGTTCAGAAGACAATACAAACATGAATAAATCAAAGGAATGACTATGTAGTTGGTACAAAAGAATGACACAGTATGGAAGGAATAAATAAGTTGTGCAGAAATTTACTCCACTGAAGTACCTTCAGCAACATGAAGTTCCTTGAGAACTTGGACATGCTGAGCCTTGAGAAGGTCAAAGTACTGAAGTAAGTAATGTACTCTGTTAATGGTGACATCCAATTCAGATCGGAGGTCTGACTCTTGTTTAATAAGTCCACGTTCAGACTTAGGAGACAAAGAAATATTGTGGACTAAGTCCTTGGCCTTATGAATAATTTCAGTGGCAGCAGGACTGGATGAGGACGAAGCAGCAGCTAAATATGACACCAATCAATTATAAGAGAATAGAGTGAAAGACAAGCAACATACCAGCAACTTGGGCAGAGGAGTTTGGGAAAGCAAGAGAAGTCCCTGGTGCAATATTGATATATTCAGAACCAGCACCAGAGCGTTGGCGCTTCCGAGTCTCCTCAAAGCCCTTTTTGGCATAATGAACAGCCTTAAAATAAAGGCGGGAATTAGAGTCTAGGCCCGGTACATCTCCAAGAAAAAGATAACGTACCTGGGCCTTGCTTGCATCATTGCTCTATGGGAATAAGAAAATCATGTTCAACTCAAAGTACAATAAAAGTATAGCAGATTAGCCTACCTCAACAATGGGTTCCTTATCCTTGTTTTTGTTGAACTTGATGTTAGCAGGAAGTGGAGCAGGAATGGAGGGAGTAGATGCAGCCATTGGCTCAACAGAGAGAGTAGTGCCAGGAACAACAGAGTCAACAGACATCTGCATAAATAAGAACAAAATTCCATGAAGAGCATCAACAAAATGAGGAGCTAAAACATACCACAGAATCAGTAGAGGTGGTGTTGTTGACTGGTGGAGTAGAATCACCCATAGCAATATCTCCCCCAATAATCTGCACCTCTTCTTCATCTTCAGAAGAAGTATCAACAATCATTGGAACTGATTTTGGAGCCTTTCCTTTCCGGTTGGAGCGACGGGTGGTCTGTTAAATAATTAAATTGATCAGAAACTTCGAACTTTAGTAAAGAAATTAAAGACATACTTTGGTTTTCATAACTGGAGGGACCGAAGTAACAGCATTAGAATTACCAGCAGTGTTGATAGCACTAGCAACAGAGGCAGCAGGCTGTGTAGCAGCTCGGACCTCATGGATTCTCTTAGTGAGAGCTCGGACAGCACTGTGGCAGGCTGGCATAGTAAAAGCCTCTCCCCGAGTTTGGGCATTGGCAGCCAATGCCTCAAGGCAGCCACGGACTTTGAAAATAATATCAAAGAATGTCGGATCACTGAGAAGGTTGTTGACAAAATTTTGAAGTCGAGCCTACAGAAACAGAACATCAGAATATAATGAATTATATCAGAGAATAAATTAAATACCGTCGAGTCACCCAAAAGTGCAGCATGAATCAGGCAATCAGCATGATTATTAGCTTTGGATAAGGCCGGATACAGGACTGAAGCATATGTGGTGTATGCAAACGTAACTTCCTCCTTGACTTTGGCATATTCCTGAGCAGAAATAGCTGAAGATGGTGTGGAAGACATTTTTTTGAGAAAGCAAAGTTTCGAGGAGATGATGAGTCTAGTGAGTGGAGAATACAGCAAAGCAAAGTCCGAGTGGAATGTTTATTCAGGCAAAGAATATTGAGGCTTTTATAGCAAAACTGGCCTAGAGGACTTCGAGATTTTTGCAATGAAAAATGATTAAGCATGCAATGGCACAGTCAGACAGTAAAGCAAGCATGTTGAATTGAAGCTGAGAGATGCAAGAATAATAAACTCGTACTAAATCTGATAAGCAAGGGACAAGTCTACATGCAGGCTCAAAGGCTGTACAGACTCAACATTTGCATCAAATGTATTGTAAACAGATATCCTTATACCCTACACTAAATATCGACTCGGTTCTTCAGGAATTAATGAACTGAGGACAGTTCAAATTAAGAAAAGGGGGGATGATACAACCCAAAATAATCTGAACTCGAAATGTCAAAACTTCGGCAGTTCATGCAGAGGTTCAGTGGTATATCTACAAGTCTACAGTACATTGTGGTTTGATACAGATTGCACAGATGTTCACTGAAGATGATTCAAATAAGATTCTCGGCAGTATAACACAATTGTACTCACTCAGACCACTAAAACCCATTCTTTATGTTGAGTGTACATTGCTTAAAGCATATTACATGTATATCAAAGACTAATTGTACCAAGCAAGTAAGACAGAAGTAGAGACTAGTAATTATGGGCTGACATACTGCATATGCTCGGATTTCCAAAGCAATAGCTAAAGCAGCTCAAAAGCATAATAGACTCGGAATGTATGACAGATATCTGATGCAACCAGGCACAAGGGAACAATAGCTAAAGCAGCTCATTGACAAGACCGTGCCTACAGGTCAATAGCTATAGAGGTTCTGAGGCCGGATCTGGCCCGGGAATGGCCCGGGATAATTCCAAGGTCCGGAACTGAGTATTGGCCTGTAGTACACACTGGGAGTGGGACGTCGGTGAAGCTATTAGCAACACCCTTCACACACTGTTGGTGTCCCCGGGAATTATGGCAAGAGTGCAAGATTGGGATGAGCAGCCTAAATGGGGTTCCTGATGATCCGGGAGTCCGGGAGCAAAGGGTAAAGAAGATATTAAAGACTGGGATAAGATGGTACACTTGATTTCAAGCTTCACTACAACGTACAAAGTATTCTAGCTTATATACATCCCAGATACAGTCAGAAGACCTCGATGAAAGCTCGGAATAATAAATAAATAGAATGTAGGTCACAAGGTTATTAATCCGAAGTCCGGCCGCTCCGGGCCGGGCCGGGAAGCGTATTGGGTGAATTGCATGCATATGACAGTATCCCCCCGTTAGGCCTGAGCCCACGAAGGCCTCTGTGAATATGTGTGCAGTGAAATAGTAAAGTATAGTAAAGCAAAGGGATTGGATTAGATCCAGTAGTGAAGAATAAATTAAAAGTGAATGTTTCGGAGAAACTGGAAAGGATCGGCCTGCCGATGTAGGGGGTCAAAGAAACTTAATAAAGCAAACAAAACCAGATTGAAACAAAGTAAACTCGTAACAAAATAATCAACAAAAGAATGGATGACCACGTAACTTCCGAAGTCCGGGCCGGCCGGAAATTGTTCTGAAGTCTCAAAAGACTAAAACAAGTTCCGAAATTCAGAACAATCGGGAGCAGCCGGTCCGAAAATTGGAATACAGGACTGGAATACAGCAGTATCCCCCAAGTATGCTTGAGCCCTCGAAAGCCATGAATCAAGAGCCGAAGTTGGAGTAAATGGTGATATAGGAGGATAGGGTAATGGAGTAGGGAAAATTTCGGAATAAAATCCAAGCCGAGAGGCGGGATTGGGCCGGAAAAATCGTCGGAAACTGCGGAAAAGTCCGGCATACCAATCAACACAAAGTGCTGCCAAAAATGATAACCTGAGCTGATATCCACACAAGAGCGATGCCTAAAAAGGCCGAAATTGACACAAAGTGTCCAGAATGATGGTAGAACCATCCCGAGACCGGAAGTTCCAAGGAAAGCAAAGCCAGAAAGCGCTATAAGGATAATCATAAAAAATGAGTTGGAAAAAAGTGTTTCGGTCTACCCGGCAGATCAACGGATCTAAGTGGGAGTAGAAACTGTATCCTAACAAATAATCAATGAAATCCTACTAAACAGAGGAGCAGTTTGTGGGTGAAGCAAAGGAATCAACAGAAATAGAAATGATAACAGGTAAGTGAATGGAAGTGCTAATGAGCAAGCTTGAGATAATGCCAATAAAATGACGGAAAAGTCGGAACAAGGTCGGAAATATTGAAATATTTAGTAATCAATAATGAGCAAAAACATCGGCATAATCGGGCCGTAATTCGAAAAAAAAGCGAAATGTGCCCTAGACATTGAGAATAATAACAAGGAAGCCAAAAATCGGGCCGGAGCTCGGAAATGAAGTACAGATAATGTCAAACAATGAATAGTCATAAAAAGGCCAAGAAATCGGGCCGAGGTTTGGAAGGAATGGGAATTTGCAAGGTCAACAAGTGAAATAATGAAAGAAAAGGAAACATTGGTTCAAACCTTGGAAAGAATCGCAAAAATGCGGGCCGAAGCTCGGAAATAATATCAATGATAATGTCAAATACTGAATAATCATTGAAGGGCATAAAAACGGGCCGAAATTCAGAAAGAAAGGAATTTGTAAGGTCAAATAAGTGAAAATCATGAAAGCAAAGGGAATGGTCGGAAAATTCGGAATTAAAATGTAGAAAAAATTAAGAATTACTCGGAACCATCATCGGAGCCCGGAACATCCGATTCAGAGTTATCTGCATCGTAGTTCTGTCCTGTACGGGCCTGCATTTTGAGACAATCTACCTTCATATGTTCTCCTCCACAATAAAAGCACAACCCGAGCACCCTGCGCCTTTCCCTCTCGGAGTCCACAAGCCTGCCATCGGGTCCGAGGTGAGGATGACCAGATCTGTCATCACCGGGCCGGAGTTCCGGCGCTTCGGAGTTATCAGAGGCAAACGAGTGGAAAGACTCAACCGAGTCTGAGGCTGAGGATGAAGGATAGGAATGTAGGTAACGGAGATCATAAGGGCCGGGGTGATCCGAGTCGAAGTCAGAGGATTCATGAAGATAATCATAATCAAATGGGCCAGGAAATTCTGAGTCATAACTTGACTGGTCAGGATCGGAAATAGTACCGGACTGAACTGATTCTTGTTCAGAATTGTGGTCAGATGGGCTAGATTGGTCCGACGAATCCGAAGGTTCCGGGTCCGGGCCAACCGGATCAGGTAAAGATAAGGCATACTCGAGGAAGGATTCAGGACCAGAGCCAAAAGACATAATGAAGGGGTATTTCGGTGAAGGAACAGTGTAATGAAGTGTAAGCTTGAAATACTGACAAGACCGTGCCTACAGGTCAATAGCTATAGAGGTTCTGAGGCCGGATCTGGCCCGGGAATGGCCCGGGATAATTCCAAGGTCCGGAACTGAGTATTGGCCTGTAGTACACACTGGGAGTGGGACGTCGGTGAAGCTATTAGCAACACCCTTCACACACTGTTGGTGTCCCCGGGAATTATGGCAAGAGTGCAAGATTGGGATGAGCAGCCTAAATGGGGTTCCTGATGATCCGGGAGTCCGGGAGCAAAGGGTAAAGAAGATATTAAAGACTGGGATAAGATGGTACACTTGATTTCAAGCTTCACTACAACGTACAAAGTATTCTAGCTTATATACATCCCAGATACAGTCAGAAGACCTCGATGAAAGCTCGGAATAATAAATAAATAGAATGTAGGTCACAAGGTTATTAATCCGAAGTCCGGCCGCTCCGGGCCGGGCCGGGAAGCGTATTGGGTGAATTGCATGCATATGACACTCATGCCTGACAGATATCTGATGCAACCAGGCACAGTGGCACAATAGCTAAAGAAACTCAACCACATGTTTATTATGATTGGTACCTGATGTTCATGTGAGTCTCGGAGTTTATCCGGGAGTCAGATGGTTCAATAAAATATGCACATGGTTACCTCGGAACAAGATATTCCGAACCATGTGCAGCATAATAAAACCCTAGACCCTGGGCTAGCTCTAGGCCCCCAGAATTGCATATATACCAGTAAAAACCTCGAGACAGGACAAGCTTGCTCCACCCCCACTTCTGTAGAGATTGCTAGTCCTACAACTTGAAGGGAGTTTAGTTTCAGCATAGAAAGAATACACTTGATTAGACAGAAAGAATTGTATAACTCAGAAAGATTGTACTATTTGACTTAAAGAAAGAGAGTAAAGTTATTCAGTACAAGCAAGTAAAGTTATTCAGTTCAGAAGTTACAAAGTTACCTTTGAATATCAAGCCCAAGTTTTATAGAACTTGTGAAAGAAAATCTATTACACTTGTTATAACCAACTTAAAAGCATTTTGTACATTGAATATAATAAATCTTTCTGTGCACCCCTCCGAACTTGTGTTTGACTTAGTTTTGTGTGTGTTGGTGTTGGTGTTTGTGTGAGATTTGTTCTTGCATTTGCATTTTGCACTTAGCCTAAAGTCAACATATCACCGTATATCACCAATTCCCGAAAAAGGCTCCAGCCCCGACACAGCTCGCACTAGCGCCGATGATAATTCCCCTACGACTCCCGACTTGCAAACACAAACGCAGTGGTCGATTGGAGAACGGCCGACACCCTCTGCCTCCCATACATCGATGAATGAGATACAGACACCAGGCCCTGCAAACATAAAAGCCAAAGGTACACCAAAAAAGGGAGCAGGCAGTAAAAAGCCAGACGCGCTTACGAACGCCTCATTCCCGCTACCTATAGAACCTCCAACATCTACCATAAATATCTCCGGGGATGTCCTTGCAATCCTCAAACTCAGTACATCGGAAAAAAAGAACCGGATTATTGATGTCGGAAAAGTGGTCGACGCCAATTTTCGCGTTTTGGGCGGTCTTCACCTTGAACTCGAGAAAAGGCTGACAGACCATAGTGCTCACATCGGTGAAGACATAGCGGAGCTCGCGACGCGTCTTGATAACTTGGAGGTAGCGGATCTCACGAGCATTGAGGGCGGTCCCCAGGACACCTCTCTCCCAAGTCAACCGGTTTCCGCTGGAGTAGGAATTTTGCATGACCTAAAATCTCGCATCTCAGCACTTGAGGAGGAGACAGACGAGGAAGGGGGGAATGATATCCGAGTAGCGGAGACAGAGAAAATGGTGAAGAAGTTGCGAGGGGATATCTCGAACATGAAGGACAAGGCGGATCTCGACCGCCAATTTGCTAAGACCCTGGCAACACCCAAGGACGTCAACGACGCACGCACATTCGCGACACGAGAGGTAGCGATGCTTCGCACCAAGCTTTCAGACGAGATCAAATCAGTACGTGCGCTAATTCCAAAGGACTCGGTGTCGAAACGAGTGGCACCACTAGAGTCCCGGATAGACATACTCAACTCTAAAGTAGAAGATCTTGAGGGGAAGTTGAACCGCGCGCTGGCTGAAAATGAGCTTCTTCGAGCTCAAATTCATTCAAAGGAGTTGAATCGAGGTCGGAGTCTTGCTTCGGCCCCTGATGGATATCAGCTTTCGCAATCCCCTTCTCCTCATCGTCATCACTCGCAAGCCCCCGGCCGTTATCGCTCTCGCTCTGCCTCACCCTTTTCTCAACGCCGACATGCTCTACCTCCGCCGCCGCCGCCCCCACCTCCTACTTCCACATCCAGAAACAAGAGACAACATAGTGCAAGCCAGGATAGCAGACCAAACAAAAAAGGACAACAGCAAAATCCAGCAGCAGAGAAAGTATCACTGTATTTGGGCCCTTTCCCCCCAACATTCTGTGTGCACTCGATGGGACATGTGCGCCGATGGTTCTCGGAGGTGGTGCAACCTACATATTGTCCATACATACTCGACGCAACGGACGGTTATTACAAAATTGCTTTCGGCACGCGCGCTGACGCTGACGGTTTTATGGCCTCCTGGAAGGCGAACTTTGCTCAATCCGACTTGCGTAACTACCATGGCATCCACATTAGACAGGGGGATTTTTGAACGGGGCTGAGGTTCTCCAGCATGTCACGGAGAGTAGCCAGACATCCAATTCTAGTATAACAGATGATGATATATATGACAAAAATGTTATTAGAATCCTTTCATGGAATGTTCATGGTGATTTCTCTGTTAAAATGCTCAGCCCCGATTTTCGAAACATGCTCTCACAATATGATTTAATTCTCATCCAAGAAACACACTTATGTACTGAGGAAGAAGATGCACTGACAAAACTGGATGGTTTCAATTTTTTTGTTCAATCTCGCACCACGGCGAAACAGTGGGAAAAGCAACACGGAGGTGTTTGTGCTTTTGTTCGGAAAGGAATTGCAGCTTCGAAGTCAAAGCTTTCATCACCAGATATTCTGGTTCTGGATCTTGGCAGCTTATGGGTTATCAATGCGTATATACTGCCTGTGCTATCTAGGTATATACATTTCACAGATGTAGCTCCCGAAGAGCAGTTATTTGAAACAATTCGGATATGTGCACTGGTGGACAGTTCGAAAAAGACTGTAGTGGCTACAGATGCTAATGGACGGACATCTTCAAGAACCCCAAAGGCTGCTCATTTGACACGGTTATCACAAGACACTGAAGTCAATGCAAGGGGACTGCGTATTCTGCAGTTATGCGAGGAGATGAACTTGGCAATAGTGAATGGTACTGAACTGGAATCTCCCAATCGTGGGTCTTACACTTCCCACCAGCACAATGGCAAAGCAGTGGTGGATTATATTCTGGTTTCAGATGAGCTGTGCCCAATGATACAAAATCTGAGCGTGGAAGTCAGGCCATTATCGAAGAAAGACCAATGGTCGGACCACTCAAAGCTCTCATTGGTGATGTCACGCGAGATTTACACCATGACTGCTCAACGATCCAGCCAACCAAAAGTTCCTCTCACAATACCAATACATGATGAATGGACAGACACTTTATATCAGGAGACGCTACAGAGTGGAAAACCTCCACACCTATTGCTCCGAGACTTTTATGGTCCAGTATACTATGATCAGAATCCAATCTCGGTATACACGGATGGTTCATGCTTGGAGAATGGGAAAGACTATGCAAGAGCTGGTTCTGGGATATGCTTCGGACTACAGTCTAACCAGAACATTAGCCTAAGGGTACCAGGGCCTGAGACTCCCACCAATAACAGAGCCGAAGCATATGCTGTCTTGATGCTACTAGCAAAAGTCAACCCAAAAAGAGCAATGAACATTTTCTGTGATTCAACCTATGTCATTCGAGAATGCTGCTATTGGGCTGGCCGTCACCTATCTACAGGATGGAAGATGCCAAATGGGGACCTATTAAAAGACATCTGCCTATTGCTGAAGTATCGCTTAGCTTTCACCCGCTTTATATGGGTCAAAGGACATAGTGGCATTCCCCAAAACGAATTGGCAGATGAATTGGCAAAAATAGGATGCACAAAAGATATTCCAAGGGATTATTCCCCCCTAGTATCTTCACCATGGGAGCGGGACCCAGGAAACAGGCAAGCAATTGATGTTCAAAAAGTCTCCACGGATCTACCAGAACACGCAGAACCCAGAACAATGATTGGTAGGTCAATTACCTGGGCTGCGGAGCAAGGTCACCGAGGAAGATCTAAAGTGGCAAAAATCCGGGATGATAACCTTGCAAAATTGCGCAATTGCAAAACTAATGCACAATTTTGGATGCTATACAAGTCATGGCTTGACCCAAAAGCAAAAGACTTTGAGCTTTCACTAAACCACCTGTATACTGAGTTTAAGACAAGGCTGAATACCCCTGTGGTCCCATCATTGCAATTAAATCACCAGCATCTGTCATATCTAAAGCACTTGGAAGCAATGCTACCTGAGGCAAACTTAGACCCAACAGAGCAAAAGTTCTTTAGCTTGACCATCCATGAAGAGGAAGTGGCAGATGCCAAGGAACATGTACTAGAATGTAACTTGAATAGCGCTATAGGCTCAGACAGCATTTCATACAAGGAAATCATGGACATTCCCAATGAAAATATAGCTTCCTTTCTCAATTTCTGTGTCAAGAACAAGACAGCACCTTCAAAATGGTTATATGCAATAGTGATTGGCATTCTAAAACCTGGAAAGAATGCTTCAGACCCAAATGGTTATCGCCTTATTGTATTAGAGTGCTGTTTCGCAAAATTGTTGGCCTATATAATTGACCGGAGAATAAGGTCTTATGCAGATTTGAAACATTTGATACCTGACTCACAAAATGGCTTCAGACCTACATACCGAACAACTAACAATCCGTTGATTTTGAGAACTATGATAGATAAGGCTAAATCTCTGGGAACCCCACTATATTTTGCATACATGGACTGGACAAATGCATTTCCCTCTACAGATCGATCTGTAATGTGGATAAAACTATTCTCGATGGGTGTAAAAGGTCCAATGATAGACTGGTTACGTATGCTCTATGCAAAAATGGCTTATGTGGTTAGAGTTTGCGGATCTCACTCGGAACCTTTTGGAGGTGATATGGGGGTCATCACAGGTAGTCCGGTTTCACCAAACTTGTTCAATTTGGTTGTTGCAGATTTTAAAGTGACAGAGCACCCAACAGATGTTGTCCTTCATGATAAGCATGTGAACCATATGCTACAAGCAGATGACACAGGAATGGCTAGTACAACACCTTCTAGTATCCAATCAAAACTTAGACAATTTGAACAATATGCATCCCTCACAGGCTTCGAAGTCTCTGTACCTAAATGTATGATCACAGTGTTTGGACAGGAAGCTAATGCAGACACAGTTTTTATGCTGCATGACAAACCTTTGCAAAAGAAAAAGAAACTGAAATATATTGGAGTTCATCATCAGACTGGTCAGGGAGGTATATACAAGGACAATTATCAGAAGCTTGCAGACAAGGCCAAGAATGCTGCTGGTGCTGTGCTTCATGCTAAAACTTTTGTGGGAAATGACATGCCAATTAAGGATATGATTACTATGTACTGGGCAAGAGTAGACCCATATTTAAAGAGTGGGTCTGAGTTTATCATGGATGTGGTAGTGTCCCACAGAGAGCAATTAGAAGAAGTACAACACTATTTTCTACGAAGGGCTCTCTCTATCCAAAAGCGATCATCTTTGGAGGTTCTGTTCACTGAAACAGGAGTGATGCCAATTCGATACAGACGGATTATCCTTTTCTTCAAGAACATGCAGTACTTAATCAGTTTACCACATCACCATCTGGCATGGAAAGCAATGCGAGAAGCTTACTCTTTAGCACAAAAAGGACATACATCCATCATTTTGGAGGCATGCAGAGTACTTGAGAGCCTACCAATTCCAGTCACATGGAATATTCCAGAGTTTGAGGATATCACTGCAGCACACCTAAATGGTTTAATAGAACACATTCAGGACTCCATGGAGAGGACTCTACAAAATGCATTAATGACATGTCCCAGAACAGCTGATACTCTGAAAGATCGGAAAGAGTATGACCGAAAAAATAAAAAGATGGTTTTCAAAGCTCTCGCTTTTAGACATTATTTGACGGTCCCGACAGGCAAACATCGGAAAGCTTTGATCCACATGGTGACAGGCAATCACCAACTTGCAGTAGAACGTCTGCGATGGAATGAACGGAACAGACCTCGAATCATCAGAGAGCACCGAATTTGCCGCATCTGTAAATGCTCTGTTGAGGATCCTGCCCATGTGTTATTTGAATGTAAAGGAAGCACTGAATTGATCAAACTGAGGGATTCTTTCATGCAAAAAGTCATCTCAGAACTTCCACAGTATGCAAAATCCTATTCCAATGCATGGATGCTATTTCGCATATTATTGGCTGAGACAAGGATCACTGAATTGTTTGCAAAGCTAACATATGATGTTTTAGAAGTGGTATATAACACTGAAATGTTTGTTCCAGCTTAATGCAGGAGCTGCTCACATGCATTGTCGAGACGGGGAAGACCGTGCACGTTTCACGAGGTTTTTTTCTTGCTTTTTCCTCATCAAGTGTGAGAGTGGCATAATCGCCCCCCCGCATTAGAAATGTGTGTTCCGTTACTGTAATCTTAAGTAGTGATTGTACAGTACGGTAAACTGGTTGTTCGGGAATCGGACCTAGCCAGTATAATTTAACTATCCTATCCTATCCTATCCTTATGCGATTGCAGGCCACTGCACCACCGTGCATGGCAAAAACTCGGCTCCTTTCTTGGGTTTATTAAATATTATGGAATCAAAAAAAACAGGGCGCCTTTCAGGCGCCAACATTGAATGTTTTTTGGGAATAAAATAAAAGCAAATTTACATAAACTACAGTATCTATGGAGTAATAGGGAGTAACTGAGTGAGATGCTGTGAGACGAGAAAACATAATTGTGACAGAGTCACGGTCCCGTGATATCCCGTGCCAGTCACAAAAAATGAATTCAGTTCAACTCAGTGTTACTTTTGTCCAAACAAGGAGAAACTCCTACCATAAAAGGAAATTAATTTTGTATGGAGTGCCGTATATAAGGATGATACTTCCGTAAACTACATACAGCCTCGTAACTGGTTAGACGGTTTAGCAACATACAGTTGAGTTGACTGTTTTTTCACAGTGAGTTATATTGACTGTCTTTTAAAGACAGTGATTTTTACTGTATAGTCTATAGGACAGTCAATCTACACTGTGTAGTGTAACAAACAGTGAAGACATCTTCTTAAAGTGAACATTATTATGAGGGCATTACAAATGGTGACGTGGACAGTCTTGTAGAAATACTCTCTGTCCTTATATCGCACACTAACTAGTAACTGTATCATACTCTGCTCGCTCTACAACTGAAATGTAATAACAATAAAACCAGACCGTTGACTGGGTAGCGGGCCCTTGCCGGCGCTACTTGGTTATTAGTTTGTTTTCCAGTGACCTCGCGCAATTGTATTGAGAGGGTGGGACGGGTTATATTCAGCGTAATCGCGCATGCGGCAGCCGGCACTTACATAAGGTTCTTTGTTCACGACGACCATGTCCCGAAATTCTCCTACTGACAGTGAAAAAACTTTGCCAAGGTCAGGGCGAATGATCAGAACCCCAACACGTACTCCTCAGCTTGTCAGTATTAACAGCGCGGCCAGTGGAACCAGTGCTATCAGCAGCCGTAGGAAGACTATTCCAAAAAACTCAGGCAGATCTGCTCGGGAAACAAGGAACCCGTCGAATATTAGTGATGATTCTAGAGAACTTCTCCCTCCAGTTCCCATATACCCAAAGGATCGTATATATGATGCGTACAATACACCTGATTGGGATCGTTTCAAATCTTGTCCTTTTGGTGTTCATCAAGAGTTGAAAGTTGGCGACTAGTAAGTAATTCCAACAATTTGGTGCGCTCATAGAATTAACATGACCTAGTGTAAAATTCAATTTTGAGGAACCCGAGTCGAGCGAGATTGGAACTTTTCACGGGTGTATTATCGAAATTCGCGCTCAACAGTGGACCAGCCCTTCAGTGCAAGTGAAACCACCAAAGGCAAGATTTACTCAGGCATTTTCATACACGTAGCCAACGCATTTCGGAAAACTAGAACTTCCGTGCTTTAGTCTCGACGCTTTCAAATGAGCCTCTTCCATCATTGGCTGCAAGAGATCAAAAACTTTTTGACGATGTCAAACGAGAGCAAACCAGTGTTAGCCGGCAGGTTTTCGGCACTAGCATGGCAGCATGGGTGGATCCTGGAGCAGTTTTGAGTACGTTTCTTCTTCAAAAAGATCAACGCTTGGACCTAGATTCACTTGCTGAACAGAAAAAATGGATGTCGCCATCATCAAGACGAACATTGAACCACCACCTTCTGGGCTCTTCTTCGATCACATTTACTACGTTGGTGGCGATACAGAGCACAGTTTCATGATACCTGCAATCAGTGAGAAGAACGAACTGCTTTGGCCATTCAAGATGATTGGTATCCATGATTGGTATGGAAGGTCACGACGTCAACCGTCTTCGTGCTTGCAAAACTGGAACGAAGAAATTTTTGATCGCTTTGATCCCATGCTCAACAAGGGCGACGACTTGAGAAATGAACACGCTGGACAGTCAGCCTCAACATTCGTTGCTCCCCTAACAAGGTCGAACCCAGATGACAGTGGAGCAGCAAACAATGTGTCGCAGAGTTTCCAAGAACCCGACCTTATAGAGTCGAGTGTCTCCTTAAATTCTTCGCCAGAAAGAGTCGCAAGCTCGCTTGGTAAGCGTATGAGAAGAGTAACAGACGTTGATTCGTGTCCTTCCGAACCAGCCACGAAAAAATCAAGAGGTCAATTTCCTGAGACTAGCTGATATTGTGCCGCTGACTCACAAGTAAATACTCCAGCATCAACCATGGAGATGAGTTCTTCATCATTTAAAGGAGCGCAAACACTATCAGAGATGAATCCGATTTTCCAGACTAAGTCACCGTCACAGGCGCAGGCTACCTTGAACATCTCTGAAGACAAATCAAATGAGGATCTCCCTCAAATGACAGCCGATGGTCCTTCGAGTCTACAATCTCAAGTCTTTGGTCAGAAAATGGGGACAGTTGATGCATCCAGTTTCGTAATGCCCATAATGGAAGCCGAGATCGATTCAAATTTTGATCTGGTATACCCTGACAATCGAAGTCGTGAGTGGAGTTTTCTAGCTATATGTTCTTTATTGAAACTGATACACTGGAAGCCTCTTTACCTCCTAGCCCTGATCGAAATCTTGTAGTATTAGTTAAGCCTGAGGAGTCTATTGGTGCAATTCTACCTGCGCCATATGCAAGCTCCGCGGCACGAATCAACGATGTCATCGAGGGGACAGATTCTCAGGTAGAGGTTGTCATAAAGTACGCAGCCCCTATCATTTTCCTTTTCTCACCGTCTCGACGCCTTTACTTGTACGATACATCATCCCATCACTGTCAAACCCCCATCGATTACTGATCCATCGATTACTGATCCACCTGACCCATCTTCTCCTTCTATTGGCTTCCGCCACCTTCCTTGTTCCTAAACTGTACAGTATTACATCGTTGTTTCTCGCAGACCGGATTATGTATATATAGCCAGCCCTCCACAGCCTGGTCCCTTATCTTGACCTCTCTGTCATTATCTGGGACCAGGTATGTGCTTACTTATTATTACCTATGACTACGATACTCAATATATCTCTGTCATTATCTGGGACCAGCCTACCGCCGTTCTGCTTAGTCGCTCCGCCTTGTTGCCTTGTCCAGTTGCTCCGCCTCACCGTTCTGCTTAGTCGCTCCGCTTTCCCGCTCCGTTAGTCACTCCGCCTCTGCCGCTTCGTGACATTAGGTCAAGATCCATTACTGCACTGACAGCCTACCGATAAGGTTGTCCTTGCAGGGTCTATAGACACCACGTCTTCCCCAGTTCCGCCCGACTCTGAAACACCTGTTGCCAGTATAGACTGCTCCGCACTCCCGCACGCACTTGACCCCAGAGACCAAGCTCACGCCCATAACAACGACGATACTTGGCGCGATTGCCAGTCTCAACCTTGCCCCAACGCCCTTTCGAACTCAATCCGAGAGCCACTCACTGTGAGCAATATAACCTTCCTGCCGATTCCCCAGCCCCGATTGCCTACTCCCATCATGTCGACTCCTATCCCGCCTGCCCCAAACACCTCTGCGGAGGATCTCATGGCTCAGCTCATCAGACAAGTAGCTAACCTTGCTACAGCTATGGAGGAACGCTCATCCTCTAAGTCAAGCATGAACAAACCCGAGGTTTTCAAGGGTAAAGATGGCGCTGAAGCCCGTCGCTTCATGGCTCAGTTCCAGAATTGGGCGTCAGAACAACCGGATCTTGCCAAAAGCCAAGTAAAACTCATCAAGTCCGCCTTGGGTTTCTTCACAGAAAGTGCCGGAGATTGGGCAACTCCCCATCTGCTACATTTCAATGCGGAAAATCCCCCTTTCGGAGGAAATTGGGAGGCGTTTCTGAAGGAATTTAGCCAACGGTTTGAACCAATGGACCCAGGTATGGAAGCCCGTAGCGAGATCAAGAATCTCAGGCAAAGTAAAGGACAGACAGTTGCGGAATTCGCTCAGAAGTTCAAGGATATCGGAGATCGGACTGAAATGTCTGATATTGACTTGCGGGAACGTTTCTTCACTGCATTACTCCCAGAGATCCGACAACACCTCATCACCATAAACATTGCCCAAGGAATTGCTCCGACTCTGAAGGAGGCAATCAAACGTGCCATATCGGTGGATGTCTACCTGCACGATCCCACCATGACTGGCCGGAACTCTGGATACCCTCCCACGCATACCGCTCATACTACCCCTGCTGACCCCCACGCTATGGACATTGATGCAACCCACACCAGTAATGGGAATACTAGGGAAGCATTCCTAGCTCGCATGCGAGGACGATGCTTCGGCTGCGGTGCCCAAGGTCATGTCAAGCAAAACTGCCCACACCGAGAAACCACCTGCTGCTACTGTGGACGTCGAGGACATCTGGAAGCAGTCTGCCAAGACAAATTCATGGGACTCGGACGAGACCGAGGCCGACGCCAGCAACCTCGACGCCAACAGATATCCGCTACGGGACCCGCACCATTCTCCCTATTCCCAAACGAATCCGTTCAAATCGCGTCCTCGACCCCAACATCTGCTCCTGCACCCGTAGCTGCTACTCCGAGCCCCCCTAACCAGGACTTTTCCAATCAGATTGGTCAAATAAGGGAATTACTTGATCGTGCTAACGCTATGTCCTCCTCGTCCTCTGGCTTTCAACAGGGTTTTTAAAGAGGGTACCCGCTTCGGCTGCACCGAGAGTACCCCGTAATCAGTTTGTTATGTTCGCTACTTCCTCGTATGACTCGCACCCATCATGTACAATATCGTCGATCCGGGAATTAAACTCTACTTCCCCACATTTCCGAATTCATGCGAGACTAAGAGGAAGGAATCACAGTATAACAACTGCAGCCATGGTAGACTGTGGAGCTACCGCCCTGTTTTTAAACCAAGACTTTGTCACCCGGAACCATGTAAGATGTGCACCCCTCCATAAACCAATCGACGTTTTTAATATCGATGGAACACCTAACCGAGCTGGACGGATAACCCATTTTGCACGTCTAGCACTCACAGTGGATAATCAAGAGCAATGGATGGACTTTCTGATCACCAACCTAGGAGGTGAAGACATCATCCTTGGACTCCCCTGGCTACGGAAGGTAAATCCGGAGATTGATTGGGAGAAAGGACGACTTTCAGTAAAGCCTCCTCGAGTAACGATAGAAGAAGTCCCAGACGAGGAGATCTTGTACTCTCATCTAGCCGCCACTCACACAGAAACCCCGATCCTTGAACTCCCGGAACTGGAACCTCCCGCAGAAAACCCCCACATTGAGGTGCCACTAGAAGCGACCCTTGAACCGAGTGAATCAGCAGCGGTGGAAGAACCACCAATACACCGAATTCGAGCCAATCATAAAACTCGCCGGGCATGGGTAAAAGCAGGAATTCTAGAGGAACAGACGGAGGAAGTCTGGTGCGCTGCAGGATTCACTTACTCCCAGCAGCTAGCAGAGGAAGCCAACCGAGACAAACCCGTTAAAACCTTCGAAGAAATGGTCCCTGAGCAGTATCGTGATTTCAAGAAGGTTTTCTCCGAATCCGCCTCCGAACGATTACCTGCCCACCAACCTTGGGACCATGCGATTGATCTCGTACCTGGAGCACCGGCAACCATGCGTACCAAGATTTATCCCATGTCCCTAAACGAGCAGGAGGAGTTGGATCGTTTCCTAGAAGAAAACCTACGGAAAGGCTATATCGTCCCCTCAAAATCACCAATCTCATCACCGGTCTTCTTCGTAAAGAAGAAGGATGGGAAACTCCGTTTCGTACAAGACTACCGGAAACTGAACGAATACACTGTGAAGAACCGATACCCTCTCCCATTAGTTGCTGACATCATTAGCCGACTTCAGGGAGCCAGATACTTCACGAAGTTTGATGTCCGCTGGGGTTACAATAACATACGGATTAAGAAGGGGCATGAATGGAAAGGCGCGTTCGCAACAACCCGAGGCTTGTTCGAGCCTAAGGTCATGTTCTTTGGTCTCACAAATTCCCCTGCCACGTTCCAAGCACTTATGAATGCTATATTTGCTGATCTCATTGCAGCCGGCAAGGTGGCAGTCTACCTAGATGACATCCTTATCTTCAGTAACGATCTCGAGGAACACCGACGAATGGTACGGGAAGTATTAACCCGGTTAGAAAAGCACAACCTCTACCTACGACCAGAAAAATGCGAATTTGAACAACAACAGATTGAATACCTCGGACTCATCATCTCAGAAGGAGAGGTGAGAATGGATCCGGTAAAAGTAGCGGCTGTTCGCGACTGGCCAGTCCCTACTAATCTTCGGGAACTACGAGGGTTCTTGGGATTTGCAAACTTCTACCGACGCTTTATCCGGAATTTTGCCAAAATAGCACGACCTCTGAACGACCTGACGAAGAAAGACACCAGCTTTACCTGGACCGACACTCGACAGAAAGCATTTGATACCCTTCGAGAAGCCTTCATCTCCGCACCGATCCTTGCTCTATGGACACCAGACAGGCCTACTCGAATCGAGGTAGACGCATCAGGCTTTGCCACGGGAGGCGCCCTTATGCAGAAGCAAGACGATGGCCAATGGCATCCGGTAGCCTTCAGATCGGCATCCATGCAGCCAGCGGAACGGAACTACGAAATCTACGATCGAGAAATGCTTGCTATCATTGAAGCACTGAAGGATTGGAGGAACTTTCTAGAAGGACTCCCTCAACCATTCGACATCATTACGGACCATTCGAACCTCGAATTCTGGCGCACTGCACAAGACCTCACCCGCCGACAAGCCCGATGGGCCCTCTATCTGTCGCGGTTTGACTTTCATATGATCCACCGCCCTGGCAGAGTAAACACCCAAGCTGATGCTCTCTCCCGCATGGCAGTTCATCATGTATCGGACAGCGATGATAACCAACAACAGACAGTCCTTAAACCTGGCCACTTCGTAAAAATTGCAGCTTCGATCCTACAGAACCCCTTAGAGGATCGTATCCGGAAAGCCTCAGAACAGGAGGCACAGGTATTGGAGGGTCTCAAAACAGTCAAAGAGCACGGACTACAGCGCTTGGCCAATGGGATAGCCGAATGGGAAGAAGACAATGGGTTGGTCTACTACCGAGGTCGAGTATACGTACCAGCAAACGACGACCTACGCACTGAGGTACTCCGTCAATGCCACGACAATCCAACTGCAGGACACCCCGGACTACACGGGACACTCGACTTGGTCAGTACCCATTTCTGGTGGCCTACGTTGCGCTCTTTTGTGGAAAAATACGTTGAGGGATGCGAGGTTTGTGCCCGTAAGAAGATCCAGCGACACCCACGGGCCGTAACTCAACCATTAGATGTACCATCCGGTCTATGGGAAGAGGTAGGGGTTGACCTGATAACACAGCTACCTAACTCCCAAGGCTACGATGCTGTCTTGGTTTGCACAGACCTGTATGGAAAACAAATTCACGCCATTCCTTGCACCAGCTCCATCACAGCCGAAGGCGTTGCCGATATTTACTACCGAGAGATCTTCCGTCTCCATGGTCTTCCTCTTCACTTTAAATCCGACCGCGGACCCCAGTTTGCAGCTAAACTCATGCGATCCCTCCTCGCTAGGCTAGGAATTAAATCAGATCTAACCTCCGGATACCGTCCTCAGTCTAATGGCCAAACCGAACGAGCAAATCAGGAAGTAGAGAAATACATCCGCCTCTATGTAGGACGACGACAAGATGACTGGGCAGAGCACCTTCCCATGGCGGAGTTTGTGATTAACTCACGGACTCATTCTGCGCTAGGCATGTCCCCGTTCGAGCTAACCTACGGCTATCTTCCCCTGTTCAATATCCCAGTGGGCCAACGCAGCGGTATTCCAACTGTGGATGACCGTATACGGATTCTCCGAGAAGCGCGACAAGATGCCGGAGCTGCCTTACACCTAGGAAAGAAACAACAGAAGGAGGGATACGAACGCGGGAAGCGGAAAGCTCATCAATTTAAAGTTGGAGACCTAGTCTGGCTCAGTGCAGAGGACATTAACCTTCAACTTTCCAGTGAAAAGTTAGGAGATCGACAGCTTGGCCCTTATCGCATTCTGGAGAAAATTGGCCCTTTAGACTACCGCCTTGACCTTCCCCTATCCCTAGATCGCCTCCATCCCGTCTTCCATGTCGATAAACTATACCCGTGGAAAGGTAACTCCATTAATGGCGAAATACCAACACCACCAGAGCCGGTATACTTAGAGGATGAAGACGAACCGGAATACGAAGTAGAGGAGATCTTAGACAGCCGGGTTCGATGGAAGAAGTTGGAATATTTGGTTAAGTGGAAAGGTTACGACGCAGGGCACAACTCCTGGGAACCCGCAGCCAACCTCAGTCGAGCACCAAAAATTGTTCGGGCCTTTCATAAAAAACACCCAACAGTGGCAAAGCCTTGACCATCGAGGGCAATGGTCATAAGGAGGGGGGTAATGTCATAAAGTACGCAGCCCCTATCATTTTCCTTTTCTCACCGTCTCGACGCCTTTACTTGTACGATACATCATCCCATCACTGTCAAACCCCCATCGATTACTGATCCACCTGACCCATCTTCTCCTTCTATCGGCTTCCGCCACCTTCCTTGTTCCTAAACTGTACAGTATTACATCGTTGTTTCTCGCAGACCGGATTATGTATATATAGCCAGCCCTCCACAGCCTGGTCCCTTATCTTGACCTCTCTGTCATTATCTGGGACCAGGTATGTGCTTACTTATTATTACCTATGACTACGATACTCAATATATCTCTGTCATTATCTGGGACCAGCCTACCGCCGTTCTGCTTAGTCGCTCCGCCTTGTTGCCTTGTCCAGTTGCTCCGCCTCACCGTTCTGCTTAGTCGCTCCGCTTTCCCGCTCCGTTAGTCACTCCGCCTCTGCCGCTTCGTGACAGAGGTGCCGTTTGGAGGAAAACATCAGACTTCATCGGCACCGGCCGTATCGAAGTTGTCCCGGTCAGTTGAAGTCACCCACGCGGAAACTCAGACCTCTTCTTTAGGTCTTCTTCGCTCTCACTTCCATGAGGAACGAAGTAGTCCTTCAGATGGTATAGTGTCCAACACAAGTACAACCCCATTGGAGAATTATCAGCCATCTCTCTCCCCTTCTCTAGCGGTTCCACCACAGTGTCAATCCTTTCAAACTCAATCGGAGGACAGTTCTCAAGACAATACTATGTTGGGCTCAGCATACAATGATCAAGATGTTCAATGGTCACCCATTGGTAGGTTCCACAGGTCCATATTGTATGAGGAATAAAATCGTACACTTATCTGTTGAATCTCAGCTCGGGAACATGAACTCGTCTTGAAGATTAAAGATCTGGAAGCGCTGCTAGAATCAAAGTCGTTGGCGCTGCAACAGAAGTTGACAGAGTGGGATGCAAAGTCACTGGAGGTTACAAGCCTGGAAGGGAAGCTTCAAGAAACTATCATTAGCCGGGGCATGATGAAGAAGGAAAGAGATATTGCCATTGCGGAACGCGATGTTGCTATCCAGGCTACCGGCCAAGTGGAGCTAAAATTACAGGAATATCGAGAATATTTCAGGTTGCACAAAAAGCTAAGCTTGTGCGATTGATTTGTGATGATAGGATGCTTTTCATCTGACATTGATTGGGAACTATCATGAAAAGAGATAGATAGTAGCAGTAAACCTACAAGTTTGACAGTAATCATAACTTGTAATTTGGAGTGAGAGTGGAAAGTCTTCACAAATGCTTCTTGGAACCTTAAGTTTGGCTTGCTGCAGGAATACACAAAATCTATAGAACACAATGATTGATCAAAATAAACAAGCCAGCAAATAAATATTTACACCCACTTCTCCGTTTTGAAGATTGTCGCACAAGGGATCAATTTTACTATTGGCAGCCTCCAATTGAGCAGCGGTGATGTCGAACATGTTCGCAATAGAGATGCAAACATCACTGGGTTTGACTATGTATTGCGCTCGACAGCTGACTAGTGCAACCGGGATGCATAGCTTTTGACCTACGAAGAGATCATCGCATTTAGCATCCAAAACCTATCATTGTCAGTATTACTCAGGAAAGGGTGAAAATTTTTGAGTCTTACGGGATTAGCAGCCAACAAAGATGCATCAGTGACGTTGAATTTAGCTGCAATTTCTACACAATTATTGCCTGAAACGACAGTATATGTTGCCTGACAAGAAGTGCGACTCTGAACGGGAACATGTGCAGCCTGTGCGCCTGAAAATATGACAACATTAATTTCATTCGCGGTCATTGGTGAATATCTTGAATACTTGCCCCTGAGGAGACTGAAAGCAATGCCTAGAGCAAACAGCGACAGACGAACGGACATCAAGCAGCGAAATGATGAAAGATGGAAGTAGTAGGCGAAATTGTGGTGGTAGGAAAAGGCGAAAGACTATCGATGCTCTGAGGACAGCAGTCGCACAATGAGTCTTTATACGTCCTCAAGCTTTCCATAAGGGGCGAGTGCGCATACGGAGCTACAAGCTCCTGAGTACTTTTGAATACAAAAAGTGCACGAGAGTCAATGCGTCGACCTACTAAAAATCGAGACTTTGAGCATCCGTACATGGATTAAACAAGCACCCTATTCCGGCATGAATTCTTTAAACGATTTACGCCGTAGCCTATATTGGAGTCTTCGAACCTGTGAATAAGTGAAGGTTCAAGCTATTCACAGTGAGGAAAAATGTGCGAAGTTCGAACGGGCATGTGGAAGAGGAGCTAGAAAGGAGGCCCACTGTAGTGTGGTCCTTCGATCAGCTGCAGCTGGGATGATAATAGTTACGAGGCTGTAGTTTACGGAAGTATCGTCCTTATGTACGGTACTCCATACAAAAATTATTTCCCTTTATGGCAGTAGTTTCGCCTTATTTGGCCAAATGTAACACTGAGTTGAATTGTATTGAATTCTTGTGACCGGCACGGGATATCACGGGACTGTGACTCTGTCACAATTATTTTTTCTCGTCTCACAGCATCTCACTCAGTTACCCCCTGTTACTCTATAGATACTGTAATTCATGTATTTATTTCATTCTTAAAAAACATTCAATGTCGGCGCCTGTAAGGCGCCCCGTTTATTTGATTCCATAATATTTAATAGCCCCCAAAAAAGGAGCCGAGTTTTTGCCATGCACGGTGGTGCAGTGGCCTGCAATCGCATGTGAAGATAAGCAGAATTGCATAGCGCGACTTCTCTCACTTCCTCCATAGACTTCGCTATATCTTGAATTATACCACAATCTCCTCATAGTCAATCACCACGGACGCACAGTACGCATCTCGTTGTTGGAAACAAGAGAGATACATGAAGGTATTATATCGACGAGCGCAGGCCCCCAGAATCTCCTGCAGAACCTCACCCGAAATAGCGTCATTTTGGGCCCGATTTTGACGATTTCCTGGTCCTAAAATAGCGTCATTTTCAGTCAAAATCCTTAGTCCTTGTCCGTTTATAGCGTCATTTGAGTCGGCAGGAGTCGGCGCACCAGCACCAAACCAAAAAAATTTTAAGCACCGGAAAAAAATGGAAAAAGAACACCAACATTTGAATTTTGAAGAAAATTTTGGAAAATTCTTCGATTTCACGTGACGATCCTGGTCCGAAATAGCGTCAATCATGGCAAAATCATAGCGTCAATTAGGGCGTCAGGCCGGGTGGGGTTCTGCAGGAGATTCTGGGGGCCTACGAGCGCACATTAATGCGGTGGTTGTGTGCTCTCCGAATTCCTCCGAATTCTAGTTCTATCTGGTGAAAATGAGTAAATCGGTGGCGTCTTCTATCTGGTACCTCCCTGCAAGTGAGAAGAGCACGGTCAAGAAGAGTTTGTTGGTTTTGGATTTTCGAAGATACAGTCTGAGTATGTTCGTACTCACATGTGTCAGCATGTGTCTTGTTTTGTGTCCGAGATCTAACTTGATATCAAATTTTTCTCAGAGGGCTCTTGGGACGACCTGGACCAATTACACGTCGTCAAGTTGAAACTGCCGTCGAGGGACCTGAGAAATGGGGACGATGTGGAATAATTGCTTGTCCCATTCCATCCATGAATACGGTCGCTGGATATAGGTCTAAATTCGACCGCATTATTTTTCAAGTTTTGTACAAGAACAGATCTCGCACGAGGTTCCTGCTGTCTTCGTAAGCTTCGTCACAACTTGAACAACAACACAGAACTCATGATAAACGTATTGTCATTACAAGGTATGGTCGTCGTAGGTATACAAAATGTATGCGCTTTGCATCGTGGGAAATAAAGTCATCGACCCCTTTCGCGAATCCTATGCCTCAAGTTTGTAACAGCTTGCCTTGCCACTTCATCTGACGCCTTCACGCTCGTCCACCAAGGGTCTCGGTTAATCCTTTTGTTTGCCACTAACTTTCTCTCACCTTTTGTTGACCCGTTCCTTGACGACCATACAACCAACAAAAAGAGAACCGGCGCGTCAAAAGGACTTCTTGATTTCTTATTTCTCTGTCCATCGACGCGTCATCTACCTCAGCGACATCTCAGTTACAGTTTGGGAACACACCGTAAGCAACCTACATCATGGTAACTACCACGCTCTCGAATGGTTGTGTCCATGGTGTACTCAGAGAAGGGGCTTACTGGAAAACTGGAGTGGATGTGGATCTTAGTGATGATGAAGAATCTCGGCCGACGAAACGAGCACGGAATACCTTGTATCAACAGCCTCAGGCTGTATCCGACGTGTACTGTCGCTGGGTGTGTGTGTGGTTTTTCAACGTTATCTGTGGTTAGGATGTTGATATTTTGGTTAGCGCACTGTACAAAACATATATCTAGCACCTACAGAGCATCTAAGACGTGTCCTCTCTATGGGGAACGTTTCTTACACCCAAAAAACTCGTGCTGTCCGCGCGCCATGGCCACGCCCAGTCAAGTCATTGCCGTCACGCGCTGTTCCGAATTACAATCCTTCTCCTCCTTCTTTCCCTCGATCCACTCCTTCAACCAATTGCAGATCATCCCGGAACTCTGTTCTCCCATTATCTCAATTCTCAGGAGACTTTCATCTATTTTCTACTTCCTCTGGCTGCATACCGCCAAACATCTTATCGAGGCTCAATGAACCAGACTTGGGAACTGACTCAGGTCCTTCGAATGCTTATCGGATATTGTACGACCTACTGACCGGAACAACGACAAACTCCCCGGATGCACGATGTTTTATTCCTGATAATACCGAACGCCATTCCCGGAATGGGTTCATCCAAACCGAGTTGATCAAAGATCCGGTGACTGACGAGCGACTTGGAATTGGTCTGCATGATATCCGAGAAATTGGAGATGGTGGCTTCTTGTTCCCGTTATCGTCCTCTTCGGAGTCTACTTCACGATGCCATGGCTTGGATGTCGATGTGATGGAGTCGTCTTCCTCTATTGCCTCGGTTCCCGTTACTACTGCTACTATTACACCGATCTGCAGAAGCCTTTATGCCGGTGCACACATTGTAGGTGATGGATCCCTCGGGGATATTGTAGACTCGTTCGGAGAGTTCGCGATCCGTAGAGTATGGTGCGGGTTCTCTGAAAAGGATAGTGAAAACCACGTTAACTTCCTCGACCACCATCCAATGGAGGAGAAACAGAAGGAGGATAACCTCCCCAAAGTCATGGAACTCTTCCGCGGTCATTTTTCCCTGAGAATCTACTTCGGGGACGGGTATGTGGACAGGGGATGTCCGGAGATTGGGGAGCATTACATTGAATTCTGGGCGGTGCGGATAATATAGAAAATCAGAATGGATACATAGCTTAGTTGGACTGCGAAGAAGTCACGGACAGGAGGGTAATATTATCAATAAATGGGATGTTTATGGTAGGTTTACTTGATAGAATATGCTACGAAGTTTAAAATTTGCGCACTGCTTACAGCGTATTCAAAAAACCTTGTCAGTAGCGTAAAAAACGAGATAAAATAAAATAAAATCGAAAAGGTACCCGACGTTTTAGCCGACCGCTTGGAGCCGCTTGGCGAGCGCGCTGTCACTCGCGCCTTTCAACAATGTAGTATGATCGTGGATCTTTTGCTTCTGAGGTAGGACTAACAGATGCTGATGCCTCTGGAGAGTCTGACCGTGCCGGGAGGAGCTCCATCGACATTGTGATCTTGAGTGGACTTATTACCCTTTGTTACCTCCACCCTCTTCCACCACGGAAGATCGTTGTCGAAAGGCGTGAGTGACAGCAGGACCCCTGTTTATGGTAGGGGAGGTTAGTTCCTTGGCCTTCCAAATGAGCTTGATTTTGACCGAAAGTTTTTTTCGTGAAATCCTCCAATTTTGACCGAATTTTGCAACTGACCTCACGACGGACCCCAAATTTGACCGAATTTTAGATCCAGACATATTTTGGCGCCCACGCTTAGTGATGTCTCGAAATTCACGAAATGCAGTGGAAATGGTTTTCTGAGCTCAGTTCTAAATTTTGAACCAAGGACTCTGGATCTATCACAGTATGTATGCCAGAATAGGCCAGAATTCATACATTCACACTGCACAAGTGGTCAAAACCTGACTAATTTTGACCGAAATTTGTGCCAAGGCTCCAGCCCGAATCATTCATTCTTGACCGAAAATTTTACCAACATACATGCCAAATCAGGTCGATTTTTGACCGAATCTGGAACCAACGTCCCCTACCATAAACAGGGGTCCTGTGACAGCGCACTCGCCAAGCGGCTCCAGGCGGTCGGCTAAAACGTCGGGTACCTTTTCGATTTTATTTTATTTTATCTCGTTTTTTACGCTACTGACAAGGTTTTTTGAATACGCTGTAAAGGAGAAGCATGCTTGGCCAGTGAGCGGACCAATCCAACTGTACGTTAACCTCTTGATGTGTTGAGTTGAAGTCCATGGTTGATTTCTTTGCACATCACCAGGAATTCGATAAGAAAGAACTGTTCTTCCGAAATCTGTTTGCAATTCCAGGAGGTCTAGCCTCAGGAGGCTTAGTCCCGATGATGCAAGTGTTCTATCATGGTGATGGATATCCTGCGTTTTCAATACACATCGCTCTGCTGGAAAAAGCTGTAAGTTCGTTCGACTTCGGTTGTGCAACCTTGTCATATTCTGCATACAATATTCATACTTTATTTATTCAGTTTGTGAGTATACTTGGCGGGTATATCGCTCCTTTGCTGGGTTATCGTTTGAAATATGAAAGCCTGAAGCAATTGTGAGGGTAGGCCTTAGGTTATTCTAGTTTATATCCTTTGGTGTAGGCGGACAAGTTCATTATAAACCTGACTATAAGCCATTATGAGGTACACCCTTGTGCACGCATCGAGATAAGATCCGGATCCAATCGAGGGTCTCTTCAAGGTGAATCTGACGAATACTTATGGTCAGTATACTTTTTTTCATTTGTTTCATGCTATTCCCTGCTTGCACATTTTAATTTGACTTGTTTAGGAGTGGCGCTCGATGCTTGATCGATAAACTTACCTGGTACTTACTTACGGGTGCCATTCATACCTATTCATATCCGGGGATCACTGCATCCCGCAACCTTCATCCCGATGCCCCAAGCACAAGAACACCGCCAAAAGCTTGCGCCTAGAACTGTGAGATTAGAGTTTGTAACAAACAATGACTTTGAGACTCTACTTCACTGTCGCTGGATCTCTTTGGCAGATAAACAGATTTTCGGTGCAATCAATATCACATGTTCTGCGCATTCATCCTTTCAAAGATTGACGTATGCATGACTGCCACAAGGCAAGTAAATGCCTGTCGTAATAGAAAGTGTCCCAGAAATTTCTGACTTGACCCGCCTGACTTTCCTACTTTGTCTCAATACCATAGCTCATATGAACTCTGAAGACTTCCCGTGGCGACTAGGGGTTCATCTGCGACTCTTCTCCAACTTTTTGAGTGAATATGGAACGTTCGGAATTGGGATCCCCAAAATGTTTCCTATAATTGTGAATATATCATCATGCATCCTTCAGAATACCCTTCTCACAAACATTTAGATTGGGTTTTTGTCTGAATTCCTATCTGTTCAAACAACATCGGACTGGGAATCTGCTAAGAATCAGGTTGGGCGACTCAGCAGTGAGGCAACGATTGTGGGTGGTCGAACTTGTGAACTATGGTTCACTGGGTACTCACTGAATCTGTACTCAGGCAACTTTTCTAGCTGCGGTTCAGTCTCAAATAATTGCAATCTCGTATCAGGACAACTCCACAAACATTCAGATTGCAACAAATGCTTTGGGATTTGCAGGTGTGCTGTTGGATGTGATAACAGCTTTTCTAGCTTTACTGGCCTCTGCGATCCTCCAACGCCACATAACTACTATCGACAAACAGCTGACTGCCATAGAAGATGCTTCTTTTGAGCAAATTGAAGAAATCTTCTACTTACTCCGATTTGTAGATGCTCGAGGACAGAGGTCTCACATTATGTTCAGTGATCTCTATCAATGGGTATTTGCAAAATGCGAAGCTCGTTTGAATGTGTTGCAGAATATGCAAGACATGCATAGAGATAGCAATGGTATCAGTTCTCAGATTCCAGAGGGTGTAAGACGATTGAAGAGTGTCGAGCTTCAAGCCAGCTTGATAGTCTATTCCTATCGACATATCCGGAACGTGACACCAATTTGTGATGCAGCAGGAACTGCCATGTTTTGGGGTGTTCTGTGCTTCTTTGCATCTGTCCAGTGTCTGGCTATTGCTACCCAGCCTCCAGTGGTTTGGATAATATCTTCAGTGACGTGCTCACTCATTGTCATTCTCCCCCTGGTTACTGTTGTTTTGGGTTTGATTGGAGTTAGTGAGTTAATTTAATTTTCTGTTGTGATGTCTGTTTTGTCTCGAAAACTAAACGTTGCCCAACAGGACCTCCGAGTATTTTCGATTTTTAAATTTATAACTGGCCCAAGGAAGGAAGGAGGGGACTCGAAGGGGCGGAGGGGAGAGAGGGGAAAGGAAGTAAGATACCTCTCGGATTCTTGTCTCCAACGTGTCATCTTGAGTACATGACATTTAAATTATAGCACAAATTCAGTAGGGCTTAATCTTCATCAGGAGTTATCATAAACCTACCATAAATTACGAGGCTGTAGTTTACGGAAGTATCGTCCTTATGTACGGTACTTCATACAAAAATAATTTCCTTTTATGGCAGTAGTTTCGCCTTATTCGGCCAAATGTAACACTGAGTTGAATTGTATTGAATTCTTGTGACCGGCACGGGATATCACGGGACTGTGACTCTGTCACAATTATTTTTTCTCGTCTCACAGCATCTCACTCAGTTACCCCCTGTTACTCTATAGATACTGTAATTCATGTATTTATTTCATTCTTAAAAAACATTCAATGTCGGCGCCTGTAAGGCGCCCCGTTTATTTGATTCCATAATATTTAATAGCCCCCAAAAAAGGAGCCGAGTTTTTGCCATGCACGGTGGTGCAGTGGCCTGCAATCGCATGTATCCAGGTTATTGATATGCATATCTTACAGATATTCTGTATTGAACTCACTATGTAGAAAGCCGATCACTAATTATGCCAGGTAATCAAGTTTGTCCATCCAGTCATTGCATTTTACAAGGTCCGTTCTGCTAGGTTCTGCTCTAATCGATCTAATCCCTTGGCCTCTTCCTATGGCGTGACAGGATTCGTGAGTCTGAATACAAGTACAAGCCAAGTAACTGACCTAGTTTTCTCCTCCTTTTAACATACCACCTCCACCCGTTCAAGGAGCAATTGGTCGCGTACCTCGAATTTCTCGGGCCATCCCAACTCATTATGCAACGTGTGAGGTTCGGATTCGCTGATCATATATAGAAAGACAGTGCAGATGGCAGGCATGGGTTTGATGAAATAGATACAGTATCGATGGCTGAAAGGTCGCATCCTTGGCCTTGGATAATCTCGAGCCCCCGCCGCAGTGGCGACGTCTAGAAAGGGACTTTTTGGAGTAAGTCGACTTCCCACCCATGGCCCTTGGCAGTCTACGTAGCGGACACCAATCTCGAAGTCAACGGCTGTTACAGCAGAAGTGAAGATGGCGAGGACTGTAAAAATGAGAGAGAATGACGGTCGCATGTCTGTGGATGCTGAGGCCAGCTCAAGCAATTTGAAAGGGTGGAAGAAAGAATGAAGCAGATTAAAACGGACGTCAAAGTCTCTTCCCGACGCTAACTTGAAAGATCCGTCGGACCAAGGACATCCTCATGGCGCAACAGGGCGCCACCTGGAGGTGCATGTCCCCAATATTGGGGTGCGTTAATTGCACTGAGAGGAGCTCGAGTTCGCCATCGATCGATCCCCTCATCCATGCGACCAGAACCAACCTTGTCGAAATCCCAAAACGAACGAAATCAACTTATTACAGCGTATTCAAAAAACCTTGTCAGTAGCGTAAAAAACGAGATAAAATAAAATAAAATCGAAAAGGTACCCGACGTTTTAGCCGACCGCCTGGAGCCGCTTGGCGAGTGCGCTGTCACTCACGCCTTTCGACAACGATCTTCCGTGGTGGAAGAGGGTGGAGGTAACAAAGGGTAATAAGTCCACTCAAGATCACAATGTCGATGGAGCTCCTCCCGGCACGGTCAGACTCTCCAGAGGCATCAGCATCTGTTAGTCCTACCTCAGAAGCAAAAGATCCACGATCATACTACATTGTTGAAAGGCGCGAGTGACAGCGCGCTCGCCAAGCGGCTCCAAGCGGTCGGCTAAAACGTCGGGTACCTTTTCGATTTTATTTTATTTTATCTCGTTTTTTACGCTACTGACAAGGTTTTTTGAATACGCTGTAAAGCTCTCTATTGAATGAGGAACACCTCTTGGTATGAAAACCTCGCCACTCTCTGGCGTGTACACCTTTGTTTGACCTCCAAGAGTAATCTTAAGTCTTCCTTCGTAAATAGTCATTATCTCATCGTGATCTTCGTGCCAGTGGGATGGGACCCGGAAGATGTCATCGTCTGGGGCACCTCTAATCTTGACAATGCGGACTTGAGGCTCGAAAGTCTTGAATTTGGTAGAAGACGAGTGTGATGGGTGAAGCAAAAAGAATTTTGAGCTGGCGGTGAATGGTGTGAATGTAGAAGTAGTATCACGCCTCACCATAGTGACTCCTTCCATCAGCTCGAAGGAATCTGGATAATCCTGCGACTTGGACATTAGAATTCGATAAGAAGAGCACAATGTACACGCAAAGAAAAGAAGGGAACAAGTTTCATGTGTTCAGCTGAAGGAGCAGCGTTATTTTGGCCCTCACGGTCAGATACAAAGCCACCATCTTCTCGCGCTCTTCTCGGTATGTATCCACTACTTTATCAGTACATTTCTTAGTTCTATGTAAGCACTTTCTAAGCTCATAAGCAGACACGAACGAAAAAACTCAACACAAACACGTTTCATCAGTCAGAATGTCAATCACGACTAGTGCGAATTCACTCGTAGAAAGATGTGGTAACCAAATTCCCCCAGTCACAGCAATGACTGCGAATATCTGATCTCTAAGTGCAAAGCGGCTGATATATCTCCTCTAGCCAATCCAGACGCGCAACAGCGTTTTGGACCTGCTCTTCTTTAGGTATGCCAGTACCCTCGAAGAAATAGGGGGAAAGAATTAAGCCGATGGACATGGAATCGAGTACAGCAGCTTTGAGTAGCTTTGAGTTCTGCTTATTCCAGCGGCTGTGAAGGTCTTCCAAAAAGCCATTGCAATAGGCACGGCCGTTTCTGATTCAGGATAATCCACGCGCTTGCGGTTGACGACGGCGATGAGACGGATTTGGTAGGCATTGATACCGTATGGGAGGAGAGTCACACCTTCCCAATCGATGAGACCTTTGATACGTGGAGGAGTAGAATCAATGATAACCTGAGAATACATGATATTTATTCAAAAATCGAAAGTAAATCTCACATTGAAAGGATTAATGTCGATATGGCAAAGTGTCAAAGGAAGCTTCTGGAGGTTGTGTGCTCGACAGCAGATTCTCGATCCGTGAACGAAGTATCACAGCATCTTCAACGTCCGGCATGCCATTCTCCAACACGTTTTCTAAACGAGGGATAATGTGATTAATTACAACATCGTCATTTGGGAGGTCTAACTTTAGTTTTGTCAATATCTCCCCCAACTGCTGAGTGACACCTATGTCGTCCTCGAGAGAAGTCAAAACGGACTCCACCGATACCCGTCGATTCAAGGCATACCCGTATGCATGATACGTTTGAGTCGCCTGGACCGTACGCACTAACGGAACAATATTGCCTAGTCGACCCCGAGCTCATTGCGCTAGCTCGGGGTCGACAGGGCTATCGTGAAGTTGGATTACGGCTTTGGTTCCGTCTGCGTAGATTACAACGAAAGTAGAGCTACCACAACCTTGGTCATCGTGAGGGACGATGGAGGTGAGTGGAGACTGTGAGTAGTATTCACCAGCAAAGGATCGAGCAGCTGAGAGTGCCTCGTCAGCAGTGAGATTTTTGAAAGCGGTAGGCACGACGGAAGCTCGAGAAAAAGAGTGATCAGAATACTGGACAACGCCATGCAGCGCGCGCGCGCCCACACATCGCCCACAATGCACATACATATTTCATGGCGCACAAGCAGGATGTAAACTTTCGTCAAACGGAACGCGGGGCATTGTCATCAGAGTATCCCCTCGAAGACATCCTTAAATCTGATCAGAGTTTTAAACGATACCAAAAAGATACAGAGTCGTCGGTACAAACCATTTGAACGGACGAGGGTTTGAACTATCTCTTCCTATCTCTCCGCCGCTCATAGTCCCTATCCCTATCCCTATCCCGCCGGTCGTTCCACCTTGGACTAGCACTCCGTCTCCTTTCTCTCTCCGGACTACGACTCCGTTTCCTCGAATCTCTATCTCGGTCTTTCCGCCGCGAATCGCTAGATGGTACATCGAAGACCATACCATACTCTCCTCGCCCTCCTCCTCTTTCACGCTTGTCATGGCCGTCGTCACGGTACCGCCTTGTCTGAACCAGATCCTCGCGTCCACCAAATCCAGAACCAAGCCCGAGTCCTCGCTTCTTCCCGGGACCGCGAGTTATATCGTTGGACCAGTAGTCGTTTGCTTTAGCAACCGATTGCGAAAAGTCGACCCATATACGGCGGTCGTCTACAAGAACGTTTTGCATTTTGAAGTAGGCCTATGAAGGGGATTATGGTTAATGCATATATTGAGTAGAGCCAGTCGAGTGAAACAAACCTGCTCCGCATCCTCCCTCTTATCAAACTCGATAAAGGCATACTGTAAACTGTCCCCCGTCTTCTTGTCTCTGATAACCTGACAACTCATTATGACCCCAAACCTCGAGAAAATCAACTCCAGATCCTCGTCTCTCGTCACCGGGTTCAACTTACAGACGAATAGCACGTTCTCCGGCGGACGAACATTCGCAAAAGGTAAATCACCAACCATCTCCAGTGTAAGTGCAGAACTCTTCGCAGCAGCCTCTCTGCGCTTCTTCTCTTCTTCCTCTTCGGGCAAAGTAGCCAACGGATCTTCATCTTCACCAATCCCAAAGAACGAATTCGAACCAGCATCCGGTGGCTTTGTCGGTGGATTTGATGGAATCAGAGGTTCCAACCCAGGAGGATCAGGAAATGGGTCATCGAGTATAACGACGTGTCGTATCCGCACATCTTTCATTGGACGGAAATCTTTCCCCACAAACACCTCGTTGAGTTTATCTAGAGTATCTAGTCCTTCGACGACATGTCCAAATACGGCGTGGACTCCATCGAGGTATTCTGTGCTGTCAGCGAGGGTGACGAAGAATTGGCTGGCACAGCCGCCTAAAGCCCCGGATTCGGACGGGGGAGCAACGGCCATGGATACGGTGCCTTTGGTTTGGTGCTTGAGTTTGGGAAGAATTTCGGGAGTAAAAAAACGCGGTACGGTTCTCGTGGATGATTGTGAATTGTTGTTTATATACGACCAGATAGATTCTCCTCCTGTCCCGGTTGCTGTGGGATCCCCGGTTTGAGCGAGAAAGTCTTTTTGTACTGTAAGATACTTACTTAGTTGGGTCCACAGAATTTCAAGCATGAATCACGCACCATTGAAGAATGCATTTAAATTATAGTAGTATAATTTACACAATTTGAGGAAATTTTCGCATGTCTTTGGACATAGATCCACCTCGAGGTCGATGACGAGGTCACCGAGCGAAGTTTCGAGTAAAACAGACATGGGTTAATGGCAAGAGGACGAAATATGAGGCACATGACTTACTGATCTATTTCGTACTGATCTATTTCTTCAACTACATAACCACGACGCGGACAACAGAACGATATACGAGGCATATATGAAGGTCCAGACGTTCAATCCTGCTGCACTGGATATACAAGCGGCAGTGAGATTGCCCCCCTTCTCTAGGCAAGTGTTATCGTACAACCACTAGAATCCCCATGGGCGCAAAGCGAACGAAAATCTCATTTCGAAGTCCTCGCTGAAGAAAAAGTTTGACAACGCCAGACACTTTAGTTCTGACAGGCCTCGATCAATCGATTGGTTTCAGACTGTGTGTTATTTTAGCGGAGGATGATCTCCTAGATCTGTTGTGAATGGTTGCATTCTTGTTTTGAACTAGTAAAGACTGGCAACCATGATTGGTGTGTATCCAGCTCTTCTAGACCTTAGAACACCCGGGAGTTCACGTTGCTTGCCCAACGTTAGGCAAACAGTTCTTCAGTAGGTGTTATGAGTCGTGTCTCGTCAGGATCGCAATTTAATTCTTCATTCTATCTCTTCTGCAAGATCCTACCGGACACAGATGGACTTTACACTATCTCCATAGTGCTTGGACTCTGGAATGTGATACGCCACCCTCAAACTTGTCACTGAGATCCAGAGCCCTCGACAAGCGGTATTCATTGCATGCTTCTCGAAGTTTTTCAGGGCGCATGGTCCCGAACTTACAGTACCTTCTGCAGTGAGTCGTTATCTTCCACGATTGGCAGCCTCTCCTTGATAGTGGACTTTGGGTGCAATCAAATGTTGACCAGTCAAGATCCATACCATTGACCTCGTCCTCCATCACAGGCTTACAGTTCCCCGGGCCCTAAATTAAAAAAGTTAGAAGCGTTGAGTATATAATGCTTCTAGGCATGCTTGAATGAATCCATTGAAAGCACTATGCACCTCCAGCTTCCCGAAACACTTGACCATTGGCCTTGGATGCGTATACTCAATGTACACTATGATCAAGTCAAGCATGACTCTCAATTATGGTTAGAAGGATTTCAACCATTCTCTCCCGAAGCTCAAAATGCATTCGAGAAGTGTGAGTTTGGTATGTATAATTCTAGTCCTAGTTCCAGACATTAATGTATTTCTTGATTTCCATGATTATGGTTATTTGTCCCCTTAGCACTGTTAGCCTCATTGGCGTATCCATATTTTAGCAAAAGCAAGTGCTGGTTTCCAATTACCCGAATTAGACTTTTGTAACCTAACCCTTCCTCCCCTGATCAATAGCTCAACTCCGGGCAGGCGCAGACTTGATGAATGTGTTTTTTGTTTTTGATGAATATACAGATGTTGAAAACGAAATTGTGGTTGCTCAATTGGGAATAGAGATCATGGATGGACTGCGAAACCCTCACAAATGCTGTAATATAAAGGGAGGCTCGATATTGAGAAAAATGGCAGCTGAGTGAGATTCATGACTGGAAGCACGCCCACGTGTTCCTACCTCCTACGCGTTACTGACATCATACGTACCAGACCTATATATACCGTCTGCGTACGATTAGATAGACTTAGACTGGTACCACCATCATCTCTTCCTTTTCCCTGTTCTCATACCTCTCTGTATCAATCGAGATCCTTCGCCTGTTTACTCCCGAACCATCGTGAGTCTTCTTCTTAGTGTTGCTTGCTAGGTGTCCCTGGCAAGCTTCCACTTTTTTTTAAACATCGCCCTGGTTCTCTTTCTCCCCTCTTAAAACCTAGCTTGAGGAGATAAGATATTTTATCCCTCTCGCCATTTCGTTTGCACAATTTTTTTGCGCATATAGCCGTGTTACATAACTTGCACCGTGTCGAAGTTACCTTACGTATCTTCATAAATTGTATTGTTCACTGCCGCTCACGGCTTACCTGCCACCTGCCACCTGCACCCGCCACCTGTTTTGCTGACACGTTGCTTTGCCATGCAGGACACCGTGGCTCCAATTCTCACCCGCCACCGCGCTGCTGTAGCAGCTCTAAATCTCGCCTCACTCACCGAACTGCCCTTCGCAAACGAAACGTATCTCGCCGTTTACTGTCCCACTGAAACTGACCTCGCCGTTGGATTTGAGTCCGTCGCTCTCACCACAACTCCAGGAACTCCTGACCTCAGTGACGACTCTGACTCTGACATCGAATATTACACACCAGCTTACAACCCCATTACAATGCCCTCTGTTCTGTCATCATTCCTCGACGAATCAGTCACTTATGCCAAATGGAAGCCTTCTACGGGTGGCATGCCAGGCACTATGACTGTCGGGAAGATCACTATTGAGACCTTGGAGGCCGCGAAGAAGGACCTTCGTATCTTCCTCACCAATAACTGCAAGCTCATCCCCGCTGACTACGTCAGCCGATGCTTGAATGTCTGGGAGGACCCGAGAGTCTCCAACTGGATAGAACAGAACCGTGAGAAGTTTTCCGAACTTTCTTTCGAGGATTTCTTCATTACTGTCAGAGACCGTGTTTTGGATCCTGACTGGCGTGATTCGACCTTCCGGAAGATGCGAGCCGTACACATGCCTGAGGATTTGTCTACATCAGCCTCCGATCTTGCGGTTAGCTTGCTAATCCTGAATGGCTATTTGAAGGGCACCAGAAGCTACCAATCTGATGAATCGCTCAAGAGCATGCTCGAAGCTGCCATTGACCCGGGTCTCTACCATGCTGTCATAAAGTACGCAGCCCCTATCATTTTCCTTTTCTCACCGTCTCGACGCCTTTACTTGTATGATACATCATCCCATCACTGTCAAACCCCCATCGATTACTGATCCACCTGACCCATCTTCTCCTTCTACTGGCTTCCGCCACCTTCCTTGTTCCTAAACTGTACAGTATTACATCGTTGTTTCTCGCAGACCGGATTATGTATATATAGCCAACCCTCCACAGCCTGGTCCCTTATCTTGACCTCTCTGTCATTATCTGGGACCAGGTATGTGCTTACTTATTATTACCTATGACTACGATACTCAATATATCTCTGTCATTATCCGGGACCAGCCTGCCGCCGTTCTGCTTAGTCGCTCCGCCTTGTTGCTGTGTTCAGTTGCTCCGCCTCGCCGTTCTGCTTAGTCGCTCCGCTTTCCCGCTCCGTTAGTCACTCCGCCTCTGCTGCTTCGTGACACATGCCTTCACGAAGGAAGTCGAAGACCAAGCTTCCAACCCGAACCACGGAATCCATAGCAAAGACTTCGATACCTTCACGAGAGCTCTGCAATCGCTTGACCATAGCCGACACATTCAACTGCGAATGGCTCGTCAAATGGCTGAACAAATGATTCGTTTGCGACCCGGTTCTCGCGCTAATACGCCGTTCACATCCTCGTCTGCTGGCAACCGCCCTGCTCAACGTCAAACGAATGGTTCCACTGTAGGCTCACAAAACACAGTTCCATGGGGAAGACTTTCTCCTCTCACTGCTACTGAACGCCGCCTCTTGGGGGAAAATGACAGATGTTTCAAATGTCATTTGTTCTTTGTGAAATGCCGTACCTCGAGCGAAGAACATGAATTCGCTATCCCGAATGGCACTGGTTACAAAGAACTGACTGTTGCGGACGTAGAGGCTGCCCGAAAGCTGCGAGGTCTGAGCCAAGATGGACATAAGAAAGCTCGTATCACTACTATTGCTACCATTGCCACCGAGGATGACGAAGATGCTGTTGCATCAATCATTCCATCTGCTGTACTTGGTTCTGGGACGGACTCCGAAGAGGAGGTAAGTGCCCCATTCCGTGTACCCCACTTGCGATGGAAATGTCATGTATCTGGGCCTAAGGCTCAACTCCCTGTCATCGTTAACTCTCTAATTGATAACGGTGCTCACCTAGCTTTGATTCACCCAGACCTAGCTGACCGCCTTGGGTATCCCCGTCTGCGCCTACCGCAACCGGAAAAGGTTTCTGCCGCATTTCAAGGTGGTGGGGATACTTCGAAAGTCCCGGCACTTACTGAATACATCAATCTCAAAGTGAGCTCCACGGATGGTATTTTTCTTTCTCGTTCCATTCCTTTCATCATCGCACCTGGCCTGTGTACTCAACTTCTCATTGGACTGCCATGGTTGTCCCATAATAACATTGTAATTGACTACTCGTCTTGCTCTTGTGTTCACAAAGCCTCTGGCTATAATCTGTTGTCTCCACTGCCTGTACCTCGTAAACGTCCGTTTGAATTGAAATCCTTCGAATCTGTCCAAGCATCTCTAACAAAGGTCCAGAATCGTGCGCGCAAGGCACGTAGGCGGTTAGCCCCTCAGCTAGAGGAAGCTTGCAACCTGATACGCCCAAAGTTCCCGCCATGTTCCATGACTCCGAGACCTACTGAATCTGATATCATAGCTTCTATTACAAGGAGAATTGACCAATTGTCTGTATCCGACGTCCTTAAAGGTAAAGAAGAAGCATTGAAACGGCGATACAAGACTATCTTCGAGCCTATTCCACATGTGGATGATCTACCGACCTCTGTCACTGCTAAAATCGAACTCAAGGACGCTTCCAAAACCATTGCTGCGCGTTCATACCGCTGTCCACGGAAATTTCGTGCTGCATGGCAAACTCTGATCCAAAACCACCTAGACTCTGGTAAGATTCGACATTCAGACTCCCCGTATGCCTCCCCGTCCTTCATTATCCCCAAAGCGGATCCTAATGCCTTGCCGCGTTGGGTAGCTGACTATCGCCAACTTAATGACAATACGATTATCGATGCCCACCCCTTGCCACGTATAGATGACATCCTGTCCGACTGTGCTAAGGGAAAAATTTGGGGCAAAATTGACATGACAGACTCGTTCTTCCAGACTCGCATGGATGAAGATTCCATTAAGCTCACGGCTATTACCACACCCTTCGGACTCTATGAATGGACTGTTATGCCGCAAGGTCTGCGTAACTCACCTGCAATCCACCAAAGGCATGTAACCGCGGCTCTACGCCACCTTATTGGTAAAATATGCTATGTCTACGTGGATGATATAATCATCTGGTCTAATAGTGTTGCCGAACATCAGGCTAATGTGGAGAAAGTACTCATGGCCTTGCGCGACGCCTCTCTGTACTGCAACCCCAAAAAGTGTGAACTATTTTCCTTCTCGGTGCGTTTCCTAGGACACACAATTTCGACCGAGGGAATCGAGGCCGACGATAAGAAGGTCACTCGTATTATGGACTGGCCATCGCCTAAAACATTGAAAGAACTCTGTTCCTTCCTCGGGCTCGTTCGATACATCGCCTCATTCCTGCCCCGCCTGGCTGAGCAAACGGAGATCCTCACTAAACTGGCATCTAATACCCCCGACAAAGACAATTTGCCTTGGAACGCGGAGCATGAATGTGCTTTCACGGCTATCAAGGTCTTGGTATCAAGTAGAGAATGCCTGACTGTCATTGACCACGACCAGCTCGATACCCACAAAATTTTTGTAACAACAGACGCCAGTGACAAGTGCAGCGGTGCTGTCTTGAGTTTCGGGACCTCTTGGGAGACTGCCCGTCCGGTGTCCTTTGACTCGTCTACCTTCAAAGGCGCGGAACTTAACTACCCCATACATGAAAAAGAAATGCTCGCCATCATCCGTGCACTCAAGAAGTGGCGGGTTGATCTCCTTGGAGTACCATTCATCATTATGACCGACCACCGGACACTGGAAAACTTTCACTCGCAACCGGACTTGTCACGACGCCAAGCGCGCTGGATGGAGTTTTTCTCGCAATTTGACTGCAAAATAGTGTATGTGGCGGGCGAATTAAACACCGTTGCCGATGCCTTGTCTCGTCGGAGCGACCTGGACATCACATTAACACCCTTCGAACGTGCCGAAGATGCGCTACGTGGTTCTCGACACCCATATGCCTACTGCGCAGATTCTGAGGCTGAAGATGAGTTACCTATCCTCTGTGTCCTCCCCAACTCTACCTGGAGTGGTGCGTCTGCGCTTGCCCAAGCACCCCCTCCGTTAGATGTCATCGCCACTACTCTCACCATCACTGCGGATGCCTCTCTGCTGGAAGAAATTCGCGCAGGATACAAAGACGACGCATGGTGTAAAGACCTCCCTTCCATGTCCTTGAGTTTACCTTTGGTCCGTTTCGACAAAGAAACTAAACTATGGTTTATTGGTGATTGACTTATCATTCCCCGCGTGGGCAGCATCCGCGAAGAGCTTTTTTGTATCGCCCACGATAACCTCGGACACTTTGGGTTTGATAAATCATATGCTTCCTTGCGAGATGCGTACTACTGGCCACACATGCGGCGTGACCTCCAAAAAGCCTACATCCCCGCATGCGAGGAGTGCCAGCGTAACAAGTCTTCCACTCAGCGGAAAGCAGGTCCGCTACACCCACTCCCTATCCCCGAAAAGTGTTTCTCCTCAGTAGCTATGGACTTTGTTGGGCCGTTACCAGAGGATGAAGGTTTTAACTGTATACTAACCATCACAGACCGATTGGGCGCTGACATCAGGATTATTCCCTGCCGTACCGACCTTACAGCTGCTCAATGTGCTGAACTCTTCTTTGACAACTGGTACTGTGAAAATGGCTTACCAACAGATATCGTCTCTGACCGCGATCACCTGTTCGTCTCCAAATTCTGGGACGCTCTCCGTAAACTCGCTGGCGTACGCCTACGAATGTCGACCTCGTACCACCCTGAATCTGATGGTTCCAGCGAATGGACTAACAAAACCGTTATTCAAATGCTGCGCTACCATGTTGAACGAAATCAAAAGGGTTGGAAACGAGCACTCCCGAGAATCAGGTTTGAATATATGAACACCGTTAATTCCTCTATTGGTCTGTCCGGGTTTCAACTACGCAGTGGTTTCTCACCCCGTGTTATCCCTCCTATTGTACCCAATTTGCCCACTAACACGTCGACTGATGAATTTGATGCACACGAATTCCTTACTGCTATTCAGGTCGATGTACTAGAGGCTCAAGACAATTTACTCAGTGCTAAGCTCGATCAGGTGCGCTCTCACAATCATCACCGTCGTGCTGATCCTGGCTTCCAGTTGGGTCAACGTGTCCTACTCAAAATGAAACATAGAAAGAACGAGTACAAACAAAAGGGAGATAAACGCGCTGCGAAGTTTTTTCCCCGTTATGATGGACCTTATACTATTACTGATGTACACCCTGAGTTCTCCGCTTACACCTTGGAGCTGCCGCCGAACTTGAACATCTTCCCAACCTTCCATGTTGATGAATTGAAGGCTTACACAGCCAATGACAGCGCGCTTTTCCCTGGCCGCGAATTCCCTCGCCCAGGACCGATCGTGACTGCAGACGGTATTCTCGAATTGGAAGTGGACCGTATCTTGGACGAACGCAAGGTTGGTCGTGGTCGTCGATACCTTATTCGCTGGAAGGGCTACGGACCCGACTTCGACTCCTGGGAACCGGGCAGTGCTCTGGAAGAATGTGCTGCCCTCGACGTCTGGGAAGGTCTTGTGGAAGGTTAGGCTCTGGAAATTCTACTTCTCACTGTTAGGCACGGCGTCCTAGGGACAAGGTGCTGGTTTTACTTAAGATTTACTTATCATTTATTGGGCACTGGTTGGATTGAATTTTTTTCTACCTCTTTGTGTTTTAGAGGTGGGGAGAGTGGAAGCATGCCCACGTGTTCCTACCTCCTATGCGTTACTGACATCATACGTACCAGACCTATATATACCGTCTGCGTACGATTAGATAGACTTAGACTGGTACCACCATCATCTCTTCCTTTTCCCTGTTCTCATACCTCTCTGTATCAATCGAGATCCTTTGCCTGTTTACTCCCGAACCATCGTGAGTCTTCTTCTTAGTGTTGCTTGCTAGGTGTCCCTGGCAAGCTTCCAATGACTATTCATCCTATCTTGACACATACTTATTATCATCTCCTTGATATATACATGCAGATTCTGGGCAAATACCATGTCAATAGTTACCCCATCTTGCCAAGCCCACTTTCTGCATGCATGTCATGAATATGTATTGTCAGTTGTGGAACAAGCTCGAGATCGATCCGGCAACAAAGTCCGTTCAATTCAAGATTACCTTGAGGTCCGGCGACTGGCAGCTGGGGTCTACCCGTCACTTGCTCTTTTGGAACTGGATTTAGACCTTTCTGATCATGTCATATCCCACCCGGCAATGAAAACTTTGACTCGATGTGCTGTCGACATAATTGCTTTGGGAAACGTAAGTTAGTCACAGTATTTTGGAAGTGATTGTACATAGATGAATAATACCCCAAATAAAACTGATTTTACCAAACAGGACATATACTCCTTTAACGTCGAACAAGCTCGTGGAGATGGATCTCACAACATCATCACTGGGGTGATGATGGAGCTCAAGTTGGATTTACATGAGGCATTGGAATGGGTAGGGCACTATCATCGGGAAAGAGAGCTGGAGTTCTTGAGAGCAGTAAAGGAACTACCCATGTGGAGTTCAGAAATTGACAGACAGGTTGCACAATATGTCAATGGGATTGGAAACTGGGTTCGAGCTAACGATTGCTGGAGCTTCGAAAGCAGACGATATTTTGGCCAGGATGGTTTGAGGGTTCAGGAAACTCGGATGGCACCGAAAGTTGTTTGATTAAGTCTGAAAGTTGGTGCGTTGACCCACAGGTTGAATCTGGGTTGAATTGTCTTATTGCAACGAGGACCCCCGACAATCCCCCAAAATCCCTGATCCTGAAAACTGGATTTTTACCCGCACTTTTAGTAATCGCAAAATGCTGAATTTTACCCACTTTTGCCTCACAGTTCAAAATGTCCCCGATTTTTACCCATTTGAGGCATCAGGCAGCCAAAATGGAAAAATTTTCCCACAGATTCTCCAGATTTCTGAGAATAAGGCAATTTTAAAGTACAATAGGACTTGAAATAAGGGAGTAAGTGTGTTGGCATGGTGTAGTGGTTGGGGAGAATCAGGGGAGAATGATGAATTACCTATGCTGAAATGTCCGAGTATGAGGTCTGTTGTTGTTCAATCCTGGTACATATGTAGTAGTTTTTACCCATGTAGACATCAACCATCTTTATTTTGCTCAAATTTTACCTATTTTTTGCATCATGGATTCAAAAAAATTTGGGGCTTTTTTACCCATTTTGAACTCATGGATTTCAAAAATTTCATACACTTTCTACCCGCACCAGGATCATGGATCATAGGTGATTGTCGGGGGTCCTTTGCAACGGTAAGTGGATTGAATTGAATTGGACTTGTTTTCATGTTGTGCCTGTATTGCAGAATTTTTGAATTTGTAGCAATTAGCGGATACCGACAGGATATTCCACAGAATTGGCTGATATGAGTATGTAGATCCGAAGAGATCTTTGAGGAAAGTGAGAGAGAAAGCCCCCCTATGCAGAGGCAGAGCCTCTTCATGCCAGTTCTTGACCACCTGCATGTGCTCAAACTTTGTCAAGATATTGGGTGCAGGAGTGCATTAACATCTTGGAATAAGCCGACGCTCCTGTCACAGGCCATGCAGGCCGGAAAAGAAAATGAACCGTTCAAAGATTATATAAAACTTGCTTTCCGAGTGGAATCAACAAACTATTTCTTAAATCCATGATGATTTCGGGTTCGAGCGAAGATGTGTTCGAAATTGACTGTGTGAGATCGTGCGAGCAGTCGTTCTGGTTTTGGTCTCATTGCGTCGAACACGAGCAGATAAGTCACAGGATAGGCAGATAGTGAGCACGTACATTCCGCCGGAGGGCCCGGGTATCGGGAAATTCTATCGGGAGGGTGGCCTCGCGGGCTAAAATACTGCTAGAATCCATGAAAGAGAAGAAGAGGGGTTCGTTCCCTCCTGTGATTATTCATAATCATATTATTGAATTAGAGTTATCGAATGAGAGAAGATCTGCACTGGAAAGGAAAGGAAAGAACCGACACTGGAAATAGGTAACTTCCAGTCTATTTTTAAAGATGGAATGAACATGAGAGCCGAGGACGCACTTCGCGTTTAGCGCTCCAGAAGTGCGGGCGCTTAAGAAGGATTACTGTGACCATTACTATTAAAACTTGCACTGCACAATAATCTACTATGGCTAGGGGGGTTCGCGCCTCTTCCTCTACAGCTCCGTCTCTAGCTGTTACAGAACTCCCACGAGTTTCCTTCCAAAAGATCGACGACGACCTCACTTTACCGACAACTGGCGTAGATGATCGACAGGCAAGGTCTTATGGCTGTGAGCTCAGTGCTTTTCGATTTTTTACAATGCTCTGAACCCTACATGTCGTACATATAGATAATGATTTCTCTGACTTTGAACGTCCAGAACATTACATTCGACATGTTGGTGATTAAATTCGAATTCTACTTTCAGCACTTGGCATCGGCGCTGAATGATGCTCTATCAGAGCCATTGGAGGCTGAACTTGCTAGACAGGTCGAGTATGATATGGACGAGCAAGGTATGTTGTACCTTGCCACCCTAATATTGACTTTGCTCAAATTACATAACTTCAGATAAAGAATGGCTTGACAACTTGAACGCTGAAAGGCGGAAGGAGCAAATGGACAAGATATCCTATGAAACCTTCGAGATCATTATGGATCGATTGGAAAAGGAATGGTTCGACTTAGTGCGTTTCCAGCCGTCTTCAGACCAATATGTAGGAGCTGACTCTTCATACATTTGTCAGACCAAGAACATGCCCAAAGCAGATTTCGCAATGCCCTCTGAAGATTCCACATGTGCAATTTGCGATGATTCTGAAGGAGAGAATAGTAATGCTATCGTGTTTTGTGATGGATGTAACCTCGCTGTCCACCAAGGTGTGTTTTGCGCCATCCAAACGTAATGGTTCCTCACCCGAAGGCTGAACTATAGACTGCTACGGCGTTCCTTACATCCCTGAAGGCCAGTGGCTCTGTCGAAAATGTACCGTGTCTCCAGAGAATCCTGTGGTACGTTCATCTATAATCTTAAATCTTTTTAACTCCTTGTTTCAGCTCGACATCGCGCTCACTGTATAACGTTACCATAGACCTGCATACTATGTCCCAACGAAGGAGGTGCCTTCAAACAAACCGTCAACGGTGAATGGGTACATCTTCTTTGCGCAATATGGGTTCCAGAGACGCGCGTAGCCAACGAAGTTTTCATGGAGCCTGTTATCGGCGTGGACAAAATATCCAAACAGAGGTGGAAATTGGTATGCTGCCCCCATTCTCCGATTACCGCAATGCTCACGCTCTGAAACCTCTTCTTTTCAGAAATGTAGTATCTGTGATATCCGCGAAGGCGCCTGTATCCAATGTGCTAAAACCTCCTGTTTTCTCGCTTTTCACACCACATGCGCCCGGAACGAAAAGCTCCTCCTGCCTATGAAGAGCACTCAAGCCGAAAGCGTCACTTTAACATGCTATTGCGATAAGCATCTTCCTGTAAGCGCGCCTTCCTCATAGACTTCCCAGGAAACCTTTCACTCACATTTCTGCACCTTTTGACTGATTTCAGAAAGAACAGCAAGAAGCTCGCGAAGCGGCATTAGCTGCTGAAGCCGACGAAGATGATGAAGATGAAAAGAACCACTCATCTAAAGGGTCCAAATCTGCTCGTGCCTATGCTAAAACCTACAAACCCGGTCCTCCGCTAGTTCCAGCGATCATCGTCGACAGGATCACGCAGTACATATCGAAAATCAATCTCAGGAAACGCACTGACTTCTTGCTTATGGTTTGCAAATACTGGAGTCTGAAGAGGGAAGCGAGAAGGGGTGCACCGTTGTTGAAGAGGTTGCATTTGGAACCTTGGACGGCCGCCGCTGCTGCTGCAGGGAACGGAAAGTTAAAGAGTGAGGAGGAAAGAGGGTTAAAATTGGGGGTGTGTCGATATATACCTTGTGTGCTTGTCTTTTGTTCGAGAGCTCACCAGGTTCTCTTGTGTAGCAACTTCGTCAACTTGAACAAGATTTAGAAAAACTTCGGGAATTGTCCGCGCTCACTTGGAAACGGGAAAGCCGAAAGCTTCAGCAGATGGAGATCATTCAGGATGTCCTTACGCAAACCGTGTACCCTCATGAACCCAGGCTGAGGCTTGCGTTTGAGCGTATCACAGGGTGCGCAATTCTCTTTCAACCGTTGTTCTCTTTCAACCGTTGTTCTCCGTCTTCTCTCGATATTTTCTGGTTTGTCGTGAGGTTCGGCGCTGCTAACGTATGATGTAGATATGATAAACACGACTACTTTAAGAATCCCGTCAACAAAGTGGACGTCCCCGACTACTTCGATGTTATAACCCAACCAATGTGCTGGTCAATGATCGATGCGAAATTGGACCGACATGAATATTGGGATATCAAAGATTTCAGGGTGAGTTGATTGATTGGACGTCGGTTTTTGATCCCCTGACTTGGCTCTCCTTGCTCAGAACGATATTGAACTCGTCCTAGTCAACGCGACAACATACAACAAAGCTGGATCTCCATTTTACAAGATTGCTCAGAAGATATTGAATTCTGCAATGCCAATCTTGCAGGAGCTTGAGCATGCGTATACGAAGCAGGCTCTGTCTACCCTTGGCGAGCCGCTTGTCAAAACAATCGAATCTACTGTAAAAATGGAGATGGAGAATACTCCTATATCCCCTTCAACATCACCCATAGGAAATCTCGAACCTCCTCTAGAACTCGTGGAACTCCTTCTCTCCCTCGAAGCAATCAGAGCCGAAAGCTCACTCGTCCTATCCGTTGACCCAATTTCCTCCCTGATCAATATCGAGCTACCTGTTCTCAAACCGCCACCTCCTCCCCAAACCCGCAAAGCGCCCAACAAAGGACCGAAAGCGCCTAAGCTGAAGCGCCAGAGACCTGATCGGAGCGAGGAATATAAACGGTACAAGGCCAAGAAGGCAGAGGAACGTGCGCACAGAGCGGAAGTGGAGGCTGCGATGGCCGCCGCCGGTCTAGCTGACGAGCGCCTTGTTATTCGCACAAGAAGATCAAGGGCTGCTGCTGCTATGGCTTCTACGGTGGGAGCGAGCGTGGAGAGTACGCTTTCGATGTCCCGAGGGGAAGGAGCGGAGGGAGAAGTATACACGGCGATGACAGGAGAAGAGGAAGGCTTGTCAAATGCAGACCTCCCTTATTCTTCATTCGCTGGTCCGTCCAGGTCACGGCTTCCGGTAGAAACACCTTCAGTACCAGAATTCAGAGATCATGTAGACAATCAAGCTTCGTTCAAGCTGTTCAATAGTGGCTGGATCTTGCCATCGGACCAGAAGCGGAGGACTCGCGCTCCAACAGTGCCCCCACCTGTGCCTGCGCCTCACCCTGCCTCTGCGTTCGTGTCAGTGCAGGATCCATCCTCTCTTCCGCCACCAAGGAAGAAGCTGAGGCTAGATCGGGGAACTTCGAAGTTGTCGGTATTCAGTACTGCTGAGGAGGACAATCAAACACTCAATTCTAGAAGTGGTTCCGCCTTCTTCAACCCCGGTCAAACCTCGTCTGCGCCTCATTCGACCAGAAGTGATACGGCGGGATTGCGTGCTTTATCGCAGGCTGCTGCTGCTGTCAGCGATGAAGATAACGGGCACAAAACGAATATATACGATACTCCCTCTGTCCCGCTAATAGTTTCTGCACCTGGGGAAAACCCAACGGATGCCCAATCTACGGGTGTCACAGCTGTTGACACCATACTCACTCCTGTCATCACCGCCACTACCAATACTTACGTCGCCGAACCCACGATCGAGCCAAGCGGTCTACCTCGAATAGGGGAGATTATTCGTGGTGCCAATGGCAAAGTCATCATTGAAGAGCTTGATTCGCCTGTAACTAGACGTGAGAAACATATGCGCAGGAAGGCGGAGAGGGACAAGCTTAGGTATGCTAGTGGACTGGAACAGGTAGCCACCACTTTCGCCAGTAGCTCTCTTGCTTCTGCTTCTACTTCTGAACCCATCCTGAATCTCGATGTCGGTCCGTTCTCTACGTCCGGATCGTTTCCTTTAAATTACTCGCTAGAGACGGACACGGAAAACCAGCAGAAATTGGAATCATCAAAACGAGAATCATATACTAACGCGCTTCCAGGAAAAGGAAAGGAGAGAATGGAAATCGAATCCGAATTGAGCTCACTGAGCGAAGGTGGAGAGGAAGATGCCGCTGTGATTACTACTAGAAAGCTCACACCGCATCCACCCCCGCCTGTACCTCCGGTGCTGGCCTCCAAAATGACTGGTACTAAGTCCCACAGATCTGCTGCAGCCAGAAGTCCTGTTGCTTCTGCGCCGTCTGCTGTTTCTGCAACTATACCACCTATATCATCCACATCCAAAAAAGCATCCGAAGTGGAGAGCCTCGCTAAAGTGTCTGAATTTGAACCTGACCAACAGCTGGAAGGAGGAACCCTTGTTTGGGCCAAAGCTGGTGTGTATCATGCGATATTTGATCTTTTTTTCCTTCTTTTTCTCTTATCACTTTCGGCTTGATCCCAAACTAACTATTTTATTGTGCATAGATACCTTCCCCTGGTGGCCTGCAGTCGTTGTTGGGATTGACGAGCCAGCGGTTCCGCCGGCGGCTAAGAAGATGTATATGAGTATGAAGAAGAAGAATAAAAATTTAACGCTGCATTTTGTACGATTCTATGATAAACAACATTCTTGGTGAGTTGCCTTACCTTCCGATCTTCCCTCGCAATATCTGACACTTCAATCAAGGCAATGTCTGGGCATAGAAAAACTGCTGCCCCTTGGGGACGACGATGGTACGTGGATATTATTCATTGCTTGATGGGCTGTGTAGATGCCGACCGTTTGTAGAACTAGATGCAGATTTAGTGGCTAATCAGTCGAAAAGACAAAAGTGGAAGAACGCTAAATTGAAATCCGAATGTCGAGAGGCTTTCAGGTGTGTGTGACATTATCTTTGGCTGATGCTGTGAACTAAATTTATGAGACAGAATGGCGAAGCAGGATATAGATACGCAATCAGAAGATATTATTCCTTGACCGATGTGCCATCAATGGGAGTAATGAAAACAAATATATACTTAGCCGAATCAAGCCCGTAATAGCCCGCAATCCACTATGTAATCCTTTATCGCTTTCACTGAACGCTCTCAACAAGCTGCATTGAATATCTTAGTCTGATCCTGCAGCAACAAAACTCTGGCGATTTCATTCACTCCCTGCATTTCAATCGTACATACATGGTTTGAATTCCTCGCATTGAAATTAGCTCTTCGAGAAGTGTGTCTTTTGTAGTAAGGCACCCTAATGAATACTACTCCTCAGGCCTCAACAGCGATTGAGGAATGTCAAAGACATGGAAAGTGCTTGGGTTCTTCAAAAGAATGGGGACATGGGATATAAAAGCAAGGGGTCAGCCTTGAACGGACTTCATAGCCTTGAATTGTGAACTAGCATGCATAAAGCGAATTTGCTTTCAAATGCTACAGCGATAATCATGGTGTGGCAAATATTCTTGCTGTCTCGATGTATCTATGCCCTAACTGGACCCCGCTTATCTTTTGAGGGTTTGCGATACCCAAATAAAAGTGCATGATATTCCTCGCTAGTCATGTCTTTCACGTTCTTCTGGGTAAGGGGTCGTATTGGCGATCCTCCTGGTTTCCTACCTGCACTAGGTCTGCCAAGGCTGACAGGTCTCATTGGCTGCTTTATTTTATCGTATAAAGCACTCAATTCTTCGTTGTATTTCTGAGATGCTCTCTTGGCTTCCTCGAGCTTCTTAGCCGCGAGGGCCGCTTCAGACGACTGAGGGGGCGCTTCCAGTATCTTTACTTGAGAAACCGGATTTTGAAGAAAAGTTACTTTCTTCTTCACCCCTGAAGGCGAACTCTTCGTCACTCTCGAAGGCTTCAACGGTCCACCATCCGCACGACGGACATTGGTACGCGAATCATGGAGCTGTTCGTGACCCAAACTACGATCAGATGGCTGGTACCGTGAAATTGAATGAGGGGGAAAAATACCCAGATGAGATATCAGACTTGCCTTATTTGAGCGTCGCTGCAGCATCCGCATATGCAGCAAGTCAGAGGATATTATAATCTGGAAAACTAGCACAAGCGTACGTTTTTGGTCTCAGTAAGGATGCTAAGGTCTCGGGACAACATGTCACTGTCTGCGCGGCTGGTGACCAAAACAGCGTGAGGTCGCTCAGAAGTTTCATGAAGGTGGGCGAGACAGGATACGCTGGCGGAAGACTGCTGGATTTTTGGGACGGAATCGAGCCGTGCGCCATCAACGACAACAGTTGTATTGATTGGTACGGCAAAGACTGATGAAGCGGATCCAATGGCAAGAGCGACAGCAAACACTGAACGAGAGCGAATCATGTACATTATGTATCAGACTCTTCAGGATGATGATCATATCAGTAAGGAAAAGGTAACGGGATAAGTGGCGAAAATCGAACCTCTGATGGCCTTCCAAGGCTATGTGGACACAATTGGTGAGATAAAAAGTCGTAAGTCGATCAGCGGTGAATGTGTATAAGAGACCAGCTCTGGAGGATAGAAAAACTTCGACATCCTTTATACCGACAGCTGCAAATCTGATCATCATCATCATCTTTATTATAATCTACCCGTCGGTATCACTATCAGTATACGGGGGCCGCTTAGTTCTTACAGAAACAAGCCCGAAACGCTGGAGAGAATCAGAGAGAATATATTTATAGAGATCCTGCAATTTAATGAGTGAAGTCGGCAGTTTCTTCGTACACATATCCTTGTGGGACGACCCCGTCTTTGGACGGGGCCGTACAAGGCCGTAAGTCGATCAATCTGACCTAGACACCGTACAACAACCAAACAGATCATAAAAAGTGGAAGAAGATTCGAGCGGGATTCAAGAGCGCATGCGCAGTTGTAGTTTGATGAAACGCATCTTCGACCTCATGAATCGCTTGATAACTTCTGTACCAAAGATATATACAGCAACAAGTATCATTGAAAACACAACAATCATCTACCAGTAAAAGACACAACGAGTTCATACAACAAAAATGACATGCATATGAGTACAAACGTACTAAGAAGCTTTTGACACGCGTCCACTCGTCGAATCATAAGTTATGAAGGGAAATGAAGGGGATATCGGCACGAAGAGATGTAAGTGTTCAAACTAAGGTTCAAACATATATACACCCAGAAAAGAAATGTCAGGAAGTCTCGGAAGAGATGATCAAATCACAAGGGCTACGAAAGCCATAGCACCAGCAGCAACGACAGCAGATTTAGTGGTGAGCAGGCTGGAAGCACCGTTGCTAGTAGATGAGGCACTAGTGGCAGATCCGGAAGCCGTCGAAGAACCCGATGCACCGGACGAAGCAGAACCGGAGCTACCACTGCTGCTAGCGGCGCTGCTAGAGACAGGCGGAGCCGGGGTAGCTATTGCAATTTAATATAAGAATCGGTGAACCGAGGAACATAGGAAATAGGCCACATAAAGCTTACTGCCTGCGGGCTTCACAGAAAAGGTGGAACTATTGACGAAAACCTGGGTAATGTTCGAGCTGTTGACGAACTGGCAGATGTAATTGTCTCCAGGAACGAGGGTGACGTTGGTGACTTCGAAGGACAAGTTGTTAGCAACACCGCTAGCGATGCTGAAAGCACCGTTGAGAGTGGTATTGTCTAGGTTGATGATGTCGATATTGAATGAGGTCGGGTCTCCCCCAGTACTGGTCCTACACCCAGGAAAAGATTTAGTAAAGATTTAGTGGAATTCGGAGGACTGCTTACCAATTAATTGGGTTTCTGTTTTTTGCGAATAATCTAGTCTACTCCCAGGGAAAATTTGAGAAGAATAAGGACGTACGAAGTGTTGAAGACCCTGAAGGGAATTAGTGAGATAAAAGCCACCCACGCCGTAAACGAATCGACGTACCAGAACTCGGAGGAGGAAGGAGCGGTGATTGAGATTGTTGCTTAACGGAGGTATCATTCAGGGATATATAGACACAATTTCCAATGATATGCGACGCTCACCCAAGACATAAGCAGGGAAAAGAGCGACAGCGGCGAGAGAGGCACGCATTATTGTTTGGGATTTTCTTGATTTCAAAGGGAGAAGTCGGAAAGAAACGTTGTGTCTGTGAACGGACGAGAAAAAAAAAGATCAACGAAAAGGCGTGCATCTTTTATGGGTGGGGAAATTGATGCTTACGTCATATTAAAATCACGCCAAGTAGTAAACCCCCTGTGAGGTCGCCGTTTCGAGAGTTTAAACGCTCGCGCCTACCGGGGAGCAGTATTAACTCCCTCGATTCCAAGTCAAGTGTCAGATCATCTTACAGTCTCTTACAGTTGGTGGACCTAGTGAAGACTCAGAGCCTAAGATAAAGTTTCATTGTCATGGAAACACGTATAATGTGGCAAGCTGCAAAATCGTTCAACTTGAATTTCATGCACCTCGTTTGTATCATCCAAAGTCAAATATATCAGTGACCTTCAACACCCGGGAAAATTTCATTTATGTGAGAGTGAGCAGGCTCCGTCTATCTTGAAGCATTATTCTACAAATGAGTAGCCACTGGTCAGTAATTTGCACCAATTATCCTTGCATACTAAGTATCATTCGTTTGTAAAGGATACTTACCCCAGGCGAGTTTATCACAGATGAAGTCAGCTTTCCATCAGCTCAAACTCATCGAAATCATAATCATAATCATAATGGTGCGACTGGACTTGGAACTTGAACTGCCTCATACCAGAGAATTTACGATGTTCAAGTTGATGCTTTATCTAATTTGTATGTAACAAGACAGTTCGAGGAACTATGTACATCAAGGTGAGCAAGGTAGCTCGCTGTCCCTTTCTTCTGGATGTATTTCCCTTCCCAGATTCTAGTTAACCTGAGCTATTTATATAATTCATATCCTATCCTATCCAATAAACTCAAACTCCTTTCTTCTTCTAGCGGCGCTTCGAGTCAGTCTTGGGGACGCCTGAAGAGGTTCGAACTTTCTTCGACGAGTGGCGCGTGCCTTGGATACAAAATCAGACAATCTCGAGTCTAGAATATGTAAATTGACACGGCTGAGCTCTTTTTCTATCGAATCCGAGTCGGCAAGCGCGTCCTGCATTTCCCCATCCTCATGGTCTCGCGACAGGCTCAGACCTTCAACCTGGACATCCGACAAATATTCTACTTTCCGAGACACGACAGTAGATTCCCGTTCATCATCTGCATCAGTCCCATCTTCGTCCATTCGCATCATAGCGAAGTCTGAATCTAATGTGGCACTGAAAGGTTTAGAAGGGGAGCTGTACTCTGAAGGACTAGCACTGGAGGCTAGTCTTCTCGAGCTTGGACACGGGCTTTGAGAACGAGACTTTGGCGTAAGATAGCCGGTTCCGGTGCTAGTGCTAGAGCTTCCGGTGTGACCAAGGAATCCCCAGCCAGGGTGAAGAGGAGGGGGGAAGGGAGATGATTTACACGGTGTAGGTGCGCGACTCATGTTTTGGAACATGAGTTCCCAGTGTTCTTCGGTCTTCTCCCTTTCTGCTCGCGCTATACCGTCCTCATAAACGTCGTAGGGCAAATAGGGCTCAGCGATGCGAAAATCTGGGTCGCCATGAAGTACGGGAGTTAGGCTGCGAGGAGGAGATGAGGACTGGTCATATATAGATCGAGGAAAAGTGACGAATGCCATGGCTTCAGTGGCACTTAGTGGCTTCGAGATTGAGATATTCGGACCAGCGTTGGACTAGTGGTGGTGATTGGTGCTTACCTTTATTATTTGAGGGTTCTTATATGCAGAGGAGCCTTTGTACTATAATTTTGGCGTCGGCTCTGCACGTGGTGATAGTGCACGCTTTGACCCGTCGAGTATGAGTCGAAGTTTGTTCTTTTGTCCCCTTCAGTTCGTTTCACTTGTTCCTGACGGTCGCCGTTATTTGTCAGGACATTCGAACCATCACGTCTTCCTACATCTTCCTATGTGCTTCTATCAGGATTATCCACAAAGAGATTTTGAAGAAAATTATATGACCCACATTGGACCCGCGAAGGACCCGCAACAGAACCCCAAATACACCTTTGTTCTTGATTGAATGCTCTGGGTATCAACTGCCCAGAGTCAGACTAGAGTCAAGGCGCATTGCGAACACGTTTTGCTCAGACAGTTGTTGTATCGATTATCGCCGCATCCATCGATTGACATTCCTGATTAAAATCCTATTATGATACATAGTGAATTTAAACGGAGTCGAAAAAATCGCCCACCTAGAGGAAAAGATTAGTGAATCTGCTTCCAGGCCTCGAGGAGATACCATATTTAGCCTTCTTTCCCGATACGGTTAACCTCTGCAATAAGGCTAGGACCCTTCCACCACCTACCTTCCCTGCTTTCATAGTAATAGAAATTACAGTGAAAGCATTTGAGTTTCTTCTTCGTGTAACGTTGGGTAATGAATGGTACTTACAAACCCATTAACTAATTCGAGCTCAAAGGTCCTTCAGTATCTTCCTTGGACTTTGTATCCTTGGAAGCTTAGCCCATAGATAGTGCATATGTTTTACCATGAGCCAGCTGCCACTCCTCCTATGTAGTAGGATTATGGTCGGCAATGATATACTTATTCGACCAGCTTCGTATGATGATAGAAATCCCATAGATGAAATCAGGTCCTTTTTGACATCGCAGCGATTGTCCAGAGAGTTGGAAGGAACGAAATTGGCATTATAGACTTTACAGGAGAACATGACGGGAGGGAGGCAAGAACGAAAGTGACGCAATCTCAATGGACGCGACAACACGTGTTCGCGCCTTGCTCAGTTTTATCGTTCAGACGCTCACTGGCAATATTCAAATCCCCAGTCCTGCCGTAGCGCTAAGCTACGAGTGTTCAACACTTCGACTGTGCTAATTTGTAAAGGTGACTTGAGGCTCTACATCTCACCAACTCTAACGTTTCGTTTTTCTCTTTAGTACAACCCTTCAGTGCAGTGACGAATCGTGGAAAGATAACCTTAGCTCCAAATCTGTAAGAGCTATGTCTGTCGAACTAAACGGGACATATTGAATTATTTCTTTGATCCAGTTAAACTGTTATGGAACCTTCTAATCCTTCAGGACCGACCACGAATCCAACGAATCAAGTTAATACTACGATTGTGAACGAAGTGCAGGAATCTTTACAAGGATTATCTGTAGCGGAGGCTGCAGACCAGGGAGCAGCTGTGAAAGATGGAGCAGTGCATAAGAATCTGACACCAGCAACATCACCCAATCCATGGTCCGATGGCGAGAGGCACTTCACCTCAACAGCACGGGAAAGGGAATTGGTATTGGTTCCTACAGATGTTGAAGATGAGGAGTCGGAGCCTAGGGCAGACGATGAAGCTGAAGCTCGCCATATTCTACACACTCCAGATCCATCGACATTCGACCGATATGTCACTGGCGGATTTGCAACAGATCCCCAGGCCTCAGCACCACTTGTGGCTCCTCCTCCAGCAACGGAGATATTGCAAGAGTTCGATCCATTAGCTGATCAAGAAGAAGAACATGCAAAGAAAGCTTGGGAAGAGAGCGAGGGACATCCCGCGCCTCCTGTTCCGCGTGATAGGATATCTTCGCCTCCTCCTCCGGTACCACTGAAAGATCTGCCGTCCCCATCGCCAATCCCAATCCCATCAGCGCAGAGCTCAGGAGGATTCCAATCTTCCTTAGTTGCTCTTGCGCGCTCGTTTTCCATACCATCTTTAACTCGTTCTCCCAAATCGAAAGGCAGGCCGCTGTCAATGGACGTCGCCAAACCCGTTCCGTCTCCTGATACCATATCTTCCTTTGCTACCCAACAGGCCAAGCAACCGGAGTCAAATGAGAGGAAGCCAGAGTCACCAGATCGACAAGAGGAAGAAGATTTTGAAGGATCAGATACTGGGTCTGAAGACTCCAGACCCGGCGACCCACCATTTGATTTTCAGAAGTTCCTTGACCAGATGAAGATGCGGAGTGCGGACCCGGTTTCAAAGTATCTCAAATCGTATGTTCCCAATTCATCTGTCTTCGACTTAAAAGTCCAACCCGACTTTCCTTCAGGTTCTTAAGTAATTTCTCTAAACGCACCTTCACAGTGTCCGACCAGATCAAGATCATTAACGATTTCTTAAACGTATGTTTTCCTTCACTCTACCTGTCACCTTATGTGTTGTTATTAACCCTTCAGTCTTCCTAGTTCATCTCTAATCACATGCGACAATGCGAGCCATGGAAGACCGCATCGGATGCCGAGTTCGACAATGCCATGGAAGGAATGGAGAAACTCGTCATGAATCAGCTCTATCAATATACTTTCACTCCTGCGGTAGCGAAAGACCTCAATCCAATAACAGGATTACCTCGTCGACCTATCTCGGTTGATGATCTCGAGCGCGATCGTATCCTATCTGAGAGGATAGCACTGTTTGGATGGGTGGAGGAAAAGCATCTGGATATTCCTGTGGAAGAAGGTACCGCGGGCTTCCTCATGTTTGCTGAGCAAGGTTCGTTTTTCCTTTTTTTAAAATCAGTAGTCAGTTCAAGACTTGATATGTCTTTCTCTGTCAGAGTTGCTCAAGATTGGACACTACAAGGCTCCCAGAGACAAGCTTATTTGTATTCTCAACTGTTGCAAGGTCATCTTTGGTCCGCCTCATGCCCTTTATTTTCTTCTTTGTCCTTCCCGGTCTCCACTCCCCATGCATTTCCAACGTCTCGGATTCGTGCTCAAGTCGTGTACTAACCTGTACAATAGGTCTAATACGACACCTTCAGAAAGAAGAAGGCGCGGACGCATTTGTGCCCATCCTAATTTTCGTGGTGTTGAAAGCGAATCCTGACCATCTCCTTTCCAATGTGGAGTGCGTATAAAGCGCCATCAGACATTGAAGCGTTGCTGAATCTCCTGTCAACATCAGGTTCATCAATCGATTTAGAAATCCAGACAAGCTTCGGAGCGAAGCAGGATACTATCTGTCGAGCTTGGTGCGTGCATGCCACCTCGTAGGATGTGCTTATTGTATACCTTCGCTCGCAGATGGGCGCCGTGCAATTTATCGAATCAATGGACCACACATCTTTATCGAATATAACCCAAGAAGAATTCGAGCAGTTAGTTATCTTTGCTAATTTCGATTGTTGCTCATAGCTCCAAACTAGGAATGTGGAAGCTGCAATCCAAGAACTGCCTACCAACCCGGATGGAACACCACGAGTGCTATCTATGGGATCCTCATCATCCTCGTCTTCATCGTCTTCATCCCTTTCTTCAATATCCACACCGACACAGCGCAGCTCACCCCATCTAGGCGCTGAATCTGCGCAACCGCTTTCACTACCGTTATCACAGAATGTGTATTCACAAGCACCCATGGCACAACAGCTTTCCGAAGATGCTCGTAGGCTTCTGCAGAAGACAGGCGACGCTGTCAGTAAACCGCTGAATGCGATTAGTAGGATCTTCAATGAAGCATTGGACTTGGCTGAAGAAAACTTTGGTTCACCGGAAAGATATGCAAGCGCTTCGACATCCAGAGCAGGTACACCTTCAGGTAGCGCTCCGTCCTTCCCAGTACCGAATTGGTGAGTCTGTTGCATTCGCATGCGTCCATTGTATCCGATGATAATGATATTTCAATATTGTAGGCCTCATCAATTAGTGCCAGGAATGGCCAGCCAAAGCCTTCCAGACTCTCGTTCATCGTCCCCAGCATCATTTATGGCACAAGGCGTATACCAAACACCTGCTCCTTCCACTGATGGAGGACCTCCCGTCCAAACGCCGTATAAACCCCGCGTGCGGAGAGTTCCATCACCAGGGGGCTATCTAAACCAAGCGCAAGCTCCGCTATATGGTCAGAGCGTACTTTCTCCAGGGTACTCTCCCGGTTATTCACCGGGATACTCACCGGAAGACACACCATCTCGTCCGAGACCGAGTGGCCAAGGACCTCAAACGCACTATCCACTTGCAATGGGCTCCTCTCAGCAGGTTCAACCTCCAGCTCGCGTTCAATCTCTTCATCCTTATTACGACCAACCCGGTTCGCCTAATCTAAATCTAGGCTCACCCCTAAACTATTCCCGTGCGTCCACTCCTGGCAGCGGGGACTTGGATATCGCGGGGATGCAAGCAGAAATTGATACAGCACATTCGCAGGCTACGGAGGCATCGCGGAATACTCTGTTCCAGATATTCCCTGGAGTTGATAGGGAGGTTGTTGAGTGGGTACTGGAGGCGAATGAAGGTGATCTAGGAAAGAGCATTGAACAATTGTTAGAGATGAGCGAGGGAGGCTGAGTGGATATGGATTAAGATGATTAGTGTGGTATACTTACATTTGTACACGAATCCAAATTGAAATTGAATCATGCAAATCGCCAACTTTCGAGCTGGAGACCTACCACACCGTAATTGAGGTGAGCCGAAGCGCTGAATATTATGAGCGCCCATTTTCTAAGCAATATGACTAACGCCGAAGTGTATACATTTCTTTCCGTCTACTCCCACATTGCGATGTCCTCCTCCAGCGAAACGACAGTCACCCCGAATACTCCTAGACTAGAAATAAACACCAGTGAAGAAACCCTTTCTTCTTCCTCACATCCTACGACGCACAAGGGTGAAACATCGGAGAATGAAGAGGAACATGAGCCTGACACGCCCACTTCTTCGTCTTCGTCCTCAACTAGTTCATTTACCACCGTAACAGCAGATATGTCTTCGTATACAGCTGAAATTGATGCCAGTATCTCACACAAACCTACATCATTATCCGATTCTTCCAATTCAAGCCTTAATTCTTCTATGGCCCGCGTTTCCTCCGCAGGACCCATAGTCGACCAACCAACAGCTACTTCAAGTAGTAAATCTGCCCCTCCAACACCCCCAAAAACTACGAAAAGGAGATCAAGGGCTTTTGTGACCTGGGCTCCATTTCCAGAACAGGGATGGGATGACAATACACCAACGAACGGCAATGTTCTTGACTTTCGAACAGAGAAACCGGTTTCTCGACGTGAGTGCTTTCAGATTTGCTCTCGAAGCTTGGGGGCTGAACCTATAAACGCAGGAATTACACATACAGAGAAACTCATATCACATTCATTGCGTGTGGCGTATGAAGGCAACTGGTCTTTCTCCAAAGTGTTTGCTGACGGTTCATTTATGGCGTCTGGCTACATTCATTTACCGGTGGGAGGCAGAAAGAGCTCAAAGAGTGTCAAGGACAACACATACGTGCGGTTTACACTCCGAGATCTTTATTTCGTGCTAACATCACGCCCGTAGATATTCCATGTTGTTGAAGGTGCTGTGAATGTCAAGATACATGACACGGCTTATATCATAGCTCAGGGAGGGTCTTTCATGGTTCCGCGAGGTGCGCCTTGGTCTACAACTGCGTCTCATTGATTCACTGAAGCCTAAATAACAATCTACAGGGAACGTTTATTTTATTGAGAACATTTGCGAACGGGCAGCAAAGCTCATGTTTGTACAAGCTAGAGAGGTCACTGCCGGCGAACAAGATGATCCTTTACGACTGGTTCGTGGACAACCGCCACCAAGACTATTTCCCGCACTTCCCAAGTCAAAGCTGTTTATCCTAGCGGGATGGGTGATTGAGCGCTTGCTCAAGCGATTCACCAAGTATCGAAGGGTTATATTGACCTGGTATTTGCGGTCTGCGATGCAAGTGGGGAGATATGTTCAAGGACCCAGAGCTTACAAAGCTTACATGGCATTCTTTATTTTGGGTTTCTTGTTCAGGAGTTTAGGGCCGTCGAGGAGTCTGTTGCCTAGGATCAACGTCCAAGTTATAAGGGATTAACGTTTAACATTCATATTTTCCTCGGAATTTTTGTTATTACATGCTTATTTTTGTGAGGTTTGCACCCTTCTTTTATTTGTAGCCTGATCTGCGTATGTAAATTTATGTCTGTACATATACTTGAGGTTTTGTGAGTCGTAGGAGCAGGTACCGAGATGCGGGCTGATGCGGCGTTTAAGACTACGCGGTTTCTATGTACGATGCGCGAAATACTAGAAAATACCTCTCTTTCACGTAGGCCTCCGAAATGGCTCTAAATGGTCGCGAGGCTGGCAGCATGTACAGTATGTAGTGGGTGACTTCAGGTGACTTCCCGCTGCAATTATTCTGCAGTTAACTATGTATTACAGCGTGTTCGGAAAATGATGACAGACGCGATTTTTTTTTTCCTCAAAAAAATAAAATAAAATAAAAAGGTACTCGAGCTTATGCGTCGGATACCGCACATTTGTATGAGATTTTTACCTGATCAGCCAGGGAAAGATGCAGCAGGGCATCTGCAATGATAGCACAAAGGTCCAGGAGGGGTGTGGGGTGTCTGGAACTACTTCAGCTCATCCTAGGGATTATTTCTGGAGCTCTAGGAACAACCTCTACTTGTATATAGCCATTAGATATGGGATAGTTTTCAATAGCAATCAGGACAACATTAAGTGCTTTCTTGTTTGGGCAAATTTTCTTCGGTAGCCGACGCGTACCTTTTGATTTTATTTTATTTTATGGGCTGATAAAAGTTTCGCGATTGTCATCATTTTCCGAACACGCTGTAACGGTATTTGATGCGACGTGCGGACTGTTGATGGGACCCTCGCTTACACCACAAACCAGTTTACAACAGGGTACGTATAAGTAGGTACGTATTCAGCCTCGTAATAAGGGAGAGGATCTTGGAAAGCGTGGTAAAAACTTCACGCGCACTTAACGAACTGACATGGAAAAGGACCTATGCAAGCAAGGTGAGGGAGGACCCCTGATTATACACTAGATAGATAGATAGATAAATACGCGGCTCCGTCGAGTCGACGGGGTCCCACAAGGGAACAGCCGGGCCCAGCAATCTTCGCTGCAGCGAATGCTCATCCAACCTGGGATGGTAGACTGCAGCTAGAGTGAAGGGGATATAGTACAGGGTAGTTGTTGTATACATATAAGAATAGAACGGAACAGACGTAAATCACTCCTCTTCCAACTCATAATTGCTTTCAACAAGTTCCAAGGAGCCATCTAAACCAGTATCTAAGAAGAGTTGCCAGATAGTCACGACATCGTGGATGAACTTGGCGGTGGGGATGATTAGGTTCCAATCGAAAAGTAATATCGTGAGATAGTGTAGTGCAGTGGAGTCCGAGAGGCTTGGGTTGCGTGGTAGCGGTCGAGACTGACGGATGGATAAGAGGAACTCGGATTGGATAGAAGTGATAGAGGTAAGAGACGGGCATTGAAACAGAAGGTGTTGAGGAGTTTCTCCGTGCAAGTTACATGCACGACAGGCTCAGTTAAGAACGTCAGTAGGGGTGAGCGGACGAAGGGGTGAGGCGGAGGCTCGGAATACTTGGGGGGTGAGGTCGCCACAGAGGAGTTTGGTGACAGTGCGACAATGAGCGTGGTTCTTGACCTGAGTGAGATAATGCCGAAGTCCAATGATTTGCTGTTTCGCGGGACCCGCTTCCCTCGGTTCTAGGCGATTTCGGAGTAAAGAGAGTTTGGACCAGGTGTCGATATGGGATTGTAGTTCAGATTTCGTGGAGAACTCAATGGTTTTGATGAGAGTGTCAATACAGACAATGTTGAGATCCTGAAGGTGAGGCAGGCGGTGGTGGCCCGGGAGTTGGGAGATGGCATAGTCCAAGTCTGAGAGCCAGCATGGAGAGCCAGCATGGCGAAGGTTGTTGTTCTCCCAGAGGGCCGAGAATGCATAGTGGGAGGGAGGGAGAGTGATGAGGTATTTGAGGTATCGGAGTGCGAGCGATGTGCGGCGGGTGCGAATAGGCATGACACCCGATTCGGTGAACAGTGGTGTGATGACCGAGTTGTTGGAGAGATTGAGCATTCGGCGTAGGAAGCGGATTTGGACGTCTTCCAGGATCTGGAAAAGACTAGGGTCAGTATCGGGTATGATCTCGCAACCGTTGGTGAGGTGGCAGTCCACGAGCACGGTGTATAGTTGTTTAGTGATGGAGGGAGGCATGCGACGATTTCCAACAAGCAGATCACAGCCAGTGATTGCACGTGCAGTCCCAACGGCAGCGTCGCGCTTTTCGGTGTAGTGGGGAGCGAACATGTTACGGTGGGTGGATTGAAAGAAGATGCCCACATATCGGCCTACGTCACGGAATTTGAGGGGTTTATCGGAAAGTGTGAGTTGAGGGAGGACCAAAGGGAGGCGACCAAAGAGCATTAGCCATGACTTTCTGGGGCTGACGAGAAGGGAGTTATTTTGGCACCAGATCTCAAATGTTCGGAGATGGCATTGCAGGCCAGCGTGACCTCGAGAGATGAGTACAATGTCATCTGCATGTTCGAGGTGTGAGATAACTACCATTCGGAGCTCGATGTCCTCGGGGTCAAAGGATAGGTTGAAGGTGGAGAGGAATATATTCCAGAGGGTGGGAGAGGAAGGGTCACCCATGAGGACTTCACTGAACACATGGAATTCGTGGGACAGTTGGCCATTGTGGGCGATGATGTAGGTCATTTGGTTGTAAAGTGATCGAAGCCAGTCGAAGTACTTGCCAGTGAGGCCCACATTGGAGAGTTTGTTCCATAGGAAACTTTGGTTGGTAGAGGGGAAGGCATTGGAGATATCGACAAACGCTAAGTAGATGGTTTCCCCTTGTGCCTGAGCTTTGTCGATGATGGTACGGAGGATGAATGCGTTGTTGTTTGTGCAGTAGCCTTCCCGAAAACCATTCTGAGAAGGTGGGATGGTGTTGGACTGCTCTAAGGCTAGGCAGAGTTTGTGATGTACAAGGAAAGAGGCGAATTTGAGGACACAGCTCTCGAGGGCAATGGCACAGTAGTTGCAGGTTTTAGTCGAATCTTTACCAGGTTTAGCAGTAGCAATGATGGTCGAGGTGAGCCATGATGAGGGAATTTCGTGTTGTTCGATAGCGCGTTGGAAAAGAGGGAGGAGGAGATCATTGTCAATGTCAATGAGGAGGTCATAGGTAGCAGCATCGACACCCGTGGAGTTGGAGTGGGTGGTACGTTTGAGGTATGACTTAATTGAGGAAATATCATCGAGGGATAGAGGGTTGTTGAAGGCAGGATGAGTTGTGGGTGGAGAGGGGAGTGGAATAGCATGCGCTCGAGCGTCCTCGGCAGCAATAAGGGTGGGGTCAAAGGAAGACGCGGAGGGGTCGGGGGGGTTCATGCGAGGGATGAAGGAGTCTGTAATTTGTTGCAGGGAGACTTTGGGAGATGGGCGCGAGGGGCGGCAGATGTCATTGTAATAATGCCAAAAAGCCGCACTCCCGGTGACACGCCTAAATTTTGGCTAGACGTCTATGCTGTGAATTGTGACATTTTCACATATAGATTTGTATCAAGAGGACTGTAATTGAGACCCAGATTGACAGTCAAAGTCAATACTGAATCAGTCTAACAAGTTGAAGGGACCATATACCCATACTACCACAAGTTGGTCAGTTTACCCATCCCCGATACTACCTACGGATAGCAGTCTACCTGTTTGTCAAGCAGGATTATACCAGACTCGGACTACATCCGAAGGATGACCATTCACGTATGACATACCAAGGGTATTCTTATTGGACCTTACACTGGCAGGAGTTTGGAAGAACTTACTCAAGTGACCATGAACCGAGGATTGACTCGAAATGACTTTCTAGAACTCAGGAATTACCAAATACTCCTTCTAGAACAAGATCATGCATTAATCTAAAGGACTGCGATTTAGTCTAATAGACCAATCAAGTTGCATGGTTGAGGAAAATGACTAGAAGAACGATCGAAAGACTGCGAGGCTCCGAAGACATATCAAATGAATGTCAAAGAGTCCTGACGTAGAAAACATTGAAGAATGCAATTAAATGAATACTATGCGTAACTCCCTTGATAGAGTATAGGCACAATGGGTGTCTGTTGAAAGAGAGAAGCAATTAGTTTAATCCAGATGAATCAGATTGATAGGATTAGAATCGAGGAGAGCTGATTTGCCTCCGGACGAAATGACAAACAATCGAAGTAAGTGTTGAACCGCAATGACAGTTGAACACCATTCGAGTCATTCTCTAAAAACAATTAAATTAAATGAATATTGAAGTACCTACCTATGTTTGGAGGTATACTAGAATCTTGGAACCAATATGGACCAAATAAGGACATGTAGATTCAAATTAAATGGTATCTGACTGAGTGTAGAAGTTTCCTTGCGGTTCCGAACGTTTATTGTATTAAATTAATTGTACTATGCGACTCTATATTCTGTATGTATAAATAGCGATCCGATGTATCTGGAATACAAGTGATTTTGGGACGACGTTGCAGTGCTAATCCGTAAAAAGGAAAGACACACTCCCGCCAGACTGAAACCTCTTCGCTAGCAGCCATTCGGGCCCGGCACTTGTGAGTATAGGAACGTCGTGTTCTGCTCCTTGTGACTGCGAGAAGTATATCCAGTTGTTGGGTATTCTTCGAACTTAGGATCAGTCGTTGGTCTTAAGGGCAAATCACGCTGTGTGGTTGTGCCAGCACATAGTTCTAGCCCTCCGTAGGGGTCTGTGTGTTTCGGTTTTAATTTACTTTGATTCAAACCCCCAATTCTTGATATACCCAAATCAATACAAACCAAAGCACAAATCGTGCTGAATCTACCTTGATCAAAGGAATATATCGAACCCTTAGAACGATTCAAATTGATTGATCAAAGCTTCGTGCTTAGCTCTCAAAGCTTTGCGGAACCTTTGCCAACGCTACCCCTTGCTATTAAATAAATTTGATAGCAGTGAACTCGCATATTGTGTATTAGATTGGTTGGT